AATTACTTAATCAAAAATCAATAAGTGGAATAAGATTGCTTGGCACATTAATTCAATAGTACAATTAAATTTATCACAATTTTAATGAAATGTTAATTCATTATTTTTCTTTAATGCCCTTCATTTAATATATGGAGCATTTTTTTCTGAGTGCTGAGTTACTGCCGTCTGATCCTTGCCTTTTCAAGTAGAAAAGATGGGTGCACAATTGATGCTCATTGATGAAAAGTTTGGTTTGAGTTGATGTGCTCAGTGTGTGACAGAGGTTTCCTGGAAGAAGCAAGGAGAAGCCAGAGATATGTAGCAATTGGCAATGAACTGCCGTGGAGGGATGCACTCCAAAGTGAGGCCATTCTTGCAAAAATACAACACAGGGGCATTCTTTATAGTTTTCAATTCTAGTTAAAGTAACTCTATTTAAGTAGGTACTGACATTCTGTGTTATCTAAGCTGAATTAAAAACTGTTCATAGTATTAGTTCCCTTGCAGATTGGTAGATTTGCAACAGTGACAGTTATAGGCCTTAGATTCTTCCACCAGCATGACTAAACCTGAAAGAAAACACCACCTTTGCATTGCTGTTGTCTTGTCTATTCTTTTTTTCTTTTTTTTTTTTCCCCCCTCAGTTATATTGCCTTCAGAAAATCTCTGGCCATTTCAATAACTTGCCAGTTAAAAAGAAAGTCAAATATGTAATTCAGGTCAGTTTGTGATGTTTGAGTTCTCACTCATGTATATGCAAATCCCTGACATTCTCAGGCTTGAGCCACAGGAGAAACTTACACTGGTTTAATGTAAGTAGTTTTCAAAATCAGTTAATCTAACACATGTTTTTGTGGGATCATGTTTAGTTTGGTTTAATCAGTATTGAATCAGTACCTCTTTCCAGTTAAAGTGTGGTTTGGATTTATGACTGAAATGCAGTTCAGTTCTCATTTAGTATACAGCAGTTTAACTCTTCCTGGCCCAAATGAGGCAGCTCAGGATAAGACATCATTTAAAAGTAAGAAATCATCACTTGATGGAAGCAAGCCTATAACGTAAACTTTACACTCAATTTTCCTTTTGCATTTCAGAGCTCATGTACCACATTCAGTGTCACTGGCATCTTCTTCGTAATCCCCAAATAGATCGAATTGCTAAAAGCAAACTGGTGTGCTCCTCTGGTGGCAGTTTTGTGCCTGAAAGTAAGAAATAGAAGCCAAAGGGCAGAAAGCTGTAATCTGTTACTCTCCTGGTTTCAGCTGTGCCTGTGTACTTATGTAAATGGAAATAAATGCTGAAGACTATTCAGTGAGTTATACTGAGGAAACTCGAGCTAATAGGTCCTTGCAAGTACTTTGAGGATGTTGTTTGCAGTATGGAGAGAGAATTCTACAGATGTCTGCGTTGGAAAAGGGATAAAGTACAGTCAGCACTTCCCAGTGAGAGTAGTTTAGTCATGACTTCTTTCAGGAATGTGTGAAAAGGCCGTGTTAAGAAATGGAGGTTATAGAAGAGAAACAGAGATGTTGTGCAAGCTGTGTGGTGATATCAGGATGAGAAGAGGGATGGCACGACGCAGTTTTTGCTGCTCACTCTGGGTGCAAACAGGTCCCGTGCTAAGTAAGCTCTATTTCATGTAAATGAAAAGTTAGAATTCAGAACTTGTTTTTATATTAGCTTGGATTGCTTTGGTTAAACTGTGGGATTTGGTTTAGCTGACACTGCTGCAGTTTTTCTTCCATGATAGCTCTACTGGCTCAGCTCTCATGGGATAGATGAAGCGTATGCCAGCCATAGGAGTTCTTCTGCTACCTTCTGTGCATGATTAGCTAAACTGAAAAAAACTCCCACTAGTCTGTCAGCATAACTGTACCTGTATTATTATACATGTAGTATTTAGAGAAATGTGCCTAGGTTGTTAACCTTATCTTTATTTGTGCAAATCATTATTGGAGACAGTTTTATTTCTCTTTATGGACTATTTGACCTCTGCGTTTGCAGAAAATACAGAAATCATCTGGAAGTCTAATTCAGTTCTTCTTTGTGTTACTGACCTTCTAAGACTCATGCTATGTAACAAACTATATCACCTTTGAATGCGATTCAGCCTAACATCAATTACATGGGGCATTATTTTGAGTAGAGTTTTAAACCAAACTTTGTTTTCTTGGCTTACTGGGTCTGTTCAGCCTTGAGAAAAGAAGACTGAGAGGGGACCTGATCCAGGTCTATAAATATCTAAGGTGTGGGGGGCAGAATGGCGAGGCCAGACTGTTTTCAGTGGTGAGTGGAGACAGGACAAGGGGAAACGGCTGGAAACTGCAGCATAGGAAGTTCTGCACCAATGTGCGCAAGAACTTCTTTACAGTGAGGTGACGGAGCACTGGAACAGGCTGCCCAGGGAGGTGGTGGAGTCTCCTTCTCTGGAGATGTTCAAGACCTGCCTGGATGCCTACCTGTGCGACCTGCTGTAGGGAACCTGCTTTGGCAGGGGGGTTGGACTCGATGATCTCTGGAGGTCCCTTCCAACCCCTACAATTCTGTGATTCTGTGATTGGCTTTCTTTTAAGAATGTCTAATGAGAAAGTGTCAGCAGCCCATATTATTTGTGATACCTACAGCTTTGTAGTAGGAAGGAATTGCATTTGACAGTTGACTGTAAATTCTCTTAAAAATCCTAGATATGTATTCAGTCCATATAACTTCTGTTTCCTCATTGAAGCACCTTAAGTCAGCAGCATGCATGACCTTACCTGCCTGTAGGAGGGCAGGTAACCTGTAGGGAACCTGTGTTGTTTTCTGCAGATTTGAATCGATCTCTGTATGCGGTTTTCCTACTGTACAGATAGAGTAGCATGTGATCAAACTTGGGTACCTCTGTAAAGATGCCTGAATGCATTCAGGATTAGTACAGGCAATGGAAAGAAGATATGAAGATATGCTATCTGAGACAGGAAACTGGAAGGAGCTTGGACTCCTGACTAGCCTGTCCTGCTAAGTGAGAGCCTTTACAGGCAGTGGATTACAATCAGGTGCCTGTGCTGTTACCTCCTCAAGCCATCTGCCAGCTCCTCTGGTGAGCATTGTTGCTTCTAGTAGAGACATGAGTCACTTCTGAATGAGCATCTGAGGTACCTGTTTTCAGTCCAATTAATGTGATTGGCTGAAAATTGGAGCAGGTCCAGGACGTGTGCCGCAGGCAGGGCAGATGACTGACAGTGATAACTGCCTGAAATAGAATGGCTAAGCTGACATAAGTTTTATCCTGTCTTTAGTCTGTGAACACTTTTGTGCATCTCTCTCACACAAGAATAAGTGGATTCCTAAAGCTGATGAGTTTAATATCATCTTTCATTTTGAGAAAGGAGATATGAAGTATTATGCAGGTAAAGTAGTATTTAAGTATGTTAATTTTCATGGGAGATTTCAGGTGAGGTCTTCCAGTAAATTCTGGTGGCTTGGCAACCCAACACAACTCAGCCCATCACCCAGTGAGACCTGGAAGGAAAGATGACAGATTCGTGAAGGAAGGGATTATTTCCCAGCAGTTGGATTTGACTTTATGTCGGGAGCTGTGGAAAACACAAACACCCTTTAAGGTGGCATTAATGATAAAGCAGCATTGCTTTTTTCCTTCCTTTGTTCCTGTCCAGTATAACTGCTTTGCTGGAGGGGAAGCACTTGTCTGGCTGTGCAACAAGTGGGGCTACAGAAAGAAACTACTCAGCAAAAAGCGTTGTTTGGTTGGTTTTTTTTTTTTTGTTTTTTTTTTTTTTTAAATCTTATTCCTCAACAGTTTTGTGGGTAGCTGCAAAAAAAGCTTGCTAGCACAAGTCAGTAGGGAATTGACTGCATGGGAATGACTTTGTGGAGGTTTCAGTTGTTTCTCTTCGGCAGTGATGACTTCTGACCCCTAGGGTTGTGTCTAACATTTTGTTTTGTTAAACATGTTAAAAGCTTAAGGAAAAAAAAAAAAAGTGTTGAACAGAATCTGTTGCATTTTCATTTGTATTTTGTCAAGGTTGTCTGCTGATCAGTGATTGTCTATTGCAGCTGATGGTACTTTTTGTTTTACATCAGTACTTTGTCTTTTTTACCTGGGGTATTTCTGATGAGCTTGTCAGTGCTTGTTGTTCTGTTTTTATAAAGTGTTAACAAAATGGAGCACCACTGTGAGAGTGAAACAGACTTGAGGATCAACAGCAGATTGGTAAAACTGGCTCTCAGTTTCTTCTCTGTCTCTTTTTAAGAATGTTTGCAGCTCATAGCACTCACCAGGGCTGCTGTGTCGGTTTAAGCTGCTTGATGAGCTTACACTAAGATACCAAATGATGATTTAAAGCAGTTGAGCCATGGGCACATGTTTCCTTCTGCCATCTTTCTTGCCTGGAGTGATAACTTTGGGTCTAGAGGGATGCTGTGACTTAATAAACTGCTCTAGTCATTTGCTTGGAGAATGTTAGAGCTCTCCTTTTAAGAGGCATTGAAAAGTTATATCACTTTCTCTTTTTATTCTATTTAGCTGTCAAATGTTAAGAAATGAGTGAGAGTCTTGTCTTTTTTTCTACTTTTTTTTTTAATTTCAGTAGACACATTTAAATATGGGAAATAGGAAGAAAGTCTGACCTCATCATTTGCCACATTTATGCTTCTGTTCCTTATCTTCCTAAATTACATCAGTGAAATCATAATTGTTTTTATTTTTGAGAGGAATTGAGGAAATAAGTTTGAAATGGATTTCTGCTAAACTACAGAAGATAATTGTTATTACACTTCAAAAAAGAATAATATTTGGAATGAGATGAGTGACCAGAATTCCAGGGGAAAAGAAACAAATGTTTAATGTAACCTAAAATAACATATACTGAAATTTCATTTGACGGTGGTATTGTTTGTGCTTCCAGTTTTGTATGCGATTGCATAATGGGCAATTGAGAAACTGTTCAGTGAGGGAGTGTGTATGATAAAGCACGATGCTGGCTGAACACTTTTCACTGATGTGTGCTCTCTAACAGGTTTGTTTGTATCTGACGTAGATCCTGGCTCTGCCGAACGCACTGCACAAAAAAGGAAGTTTCCCAGCCCTCCACATTCCTCTAATGGCCACTCACCCCAAGATGCATCAACAAGTCCCATAAAAAAGAAAAAGAAACCTGGTCTATTGAACAGTAATAATAAAGAACAGGTAAGAGGAGTCCTGGTCTTGTTATGCTAGGATATGAACCAATGAAAGATGGATGTAGAGAGCTGAACAGGAGCCCCCTACTCTTTAGGAAGCTTAATTTTTGCACTAGAAAGTAGATATTCACTGAAGGTGCAGTGGGTGCAGGAATTGACATTTTAAGGTAGATTTGGGTGCTTATAATTTTTTTTCTTAAGGTTTTTATTTTTAGTATGAGAGCTTTTGTTGTTGGTAAAACTATCAAGAGAGTAAATAAAATTAAAAGGAAATACAGAGGGATGTGATGTCCTAGGTTAAGAAAGATACCATAATATCTCTGGGAATCTGTCATCTGTTCCCAGTCCTCTTGCCAATTGTTAACAACAGTCCTGCTGCTCCCATGGTACTTTACAGATTCTCTCCCCTTCCTTTAAACTGATGTGCTGGAAATATTGCTGCCAAAGTTGATGACTCAAAGGATTGTGCTGGCAGTATTTTTCCGTCTTCATTTTCAGTGACTTCTGAATATTGAATTTATAGCATTTGTTGTAGCTCATGAAAGGACTTGACTCCAGAAGACTGACAATTTCAGAGTCTTTGTATGATGCAAATGAAGGAATTGTATGAATTACATTGAATACCAAATGCTGTAAAGCAGCTCTATCATCCTGGAGGAGATTACGTGAAAGCAATCTTTAGCTCCACTGAAATGATTTCTCATCTAGTTTGCAGATGAAGTGCCTGTGTTCTGTTCAGAGTGCTTTTGTGTGTTAATGTGTTCTACCACTATCTCATAAACACAGGATTAAGTTGTGTGGATTTGGAGCTTTTTTTCCCCTCATGTAATAGCATCTGCATTAAACATTATCATGGTACAATTGTACTGGTTTAGAAAGAAAATGAAATTCTTAATCACTGCAGTTTATTCTGGAACAGAGACCTTGAATAAATGAGGCCAAAGAATGGTCTTTCAGTGCTAAATGTATTTTACTTAGGGTACTGGGGAGGTCTAGTAACAGCATGTGTAGGCATTGCTGATGTAGTTTAATGTTGTCAGTTTGGCTTTTTCTGAGTTCACGGTGGGCTCTGAGAATTCCTACACGTCTCGGACATTTGCAAAGAGATGATGTTGTGCTGCAGTTTGGGTTTCTAACTGTGCTCTGTAGAGATAATGGTACAGACAGTGAGGCTGAATCTTAGAGGATTCCTTCCCACTGTTCATTCATGCATTTAAAAGTACACTGTGTGAAAAATAATTGTAGTTGTTGAACTCAATATGTCCGTTCCCCTCAGTAAATCATTTTCTGTTTTCCAGGTATTTCAAACCTGAAATACTGCAGGATAGAAAAGTTGTGTATCTAAAGAAGAAAAGCAAACTAGGCATGTTGCTTAGCTGTACATGTTATCAGTTAGCAAGGAAGTATCATTTGTTTTGGTTTGTTTTTGTTGGCTTTTTTTTGCTTTTGTAAGTAGTTTTTAATTTAATAAAACGTACCTGAGGATGATTGTTTCTATAAGGTGTATCAATCTGCTCTACGTAATGGCAGTTAATGTTAAAGATCCTTTAACTGCTGAAGAGATGTAAGCTAAGCACACAGTTACTTGTTTTGCTCCTAGTTTAGGTTTCAAGTATAATGTAGCTGACAGCTGTGATTCTGCTTGGCTGATAAATCCATTCTGAGGTCTGGCAACATCAGTGAGGCCTCCAGGTTGATATTCTTCACCACTGAGTGTTTGGTAGTGCTGGTGTGTATCAAGATACCCTCACTACAGCTATCATTGCACAAGGCTTTGTACTAAGATGCTACGGGTGTTCAGAACGGTGCCAACGGGTATTTAAAGTATTGACATACAAAAAATTATGGAGATAAAGAGTATAGCTAAAAGGTTAAAAAAAAATAATCAGGAATGTGCAACACTTGGTCAGCTACAATATATTTGAAGTAGCAGCTTTTTTCCAACCTAGCTTCAAAGTTAATTTGAACTGGCTAGAAATAGTAATCTTTTTCTTGCATAAAAAGCACTACAGTACTCTTGTTTTTCCTTCAGTTTTATACGTATCTTACTAACATTGCTGAAACTGTGAGGGCAAGCTGCCACTTGAGCTGGAACTGACTTTTGAAACTGTTGGGAGAACAAAGCTTTTCTTTCATGACTGTTAACATTTAAACTCTTAAACATGTTGCTCTGATTAGAACAAGTGAAAGGCTCCTTTGATGTCACTCAGGGGTTCGTTTTCCATCATTTAGTTCTGTTGTTTGGGTCTTTTTGAGTCTCATTCCTATCTTCTTTCTTTCCTGGCCCTCAGTCTTAGCTCAGACAAAACAAGGTGGTATTTATCTGAAAGATAGGAAAGTCCTCAGTCAGAGAATTAATTCCTTCCACCTTCTAGCAAAGATGGACTATTTTATTTAGATACAATAAGCTCATTTCTCTGTAATTGCTTACAGATTTTAAATTTCTTTTAGAACAGGAAGTCAGTGTGGATGCACTGCCCATAGCTGCATCTCAACTACCAAGACTTCAGTTTCAGAATCTCTGAGTATTGAGATTTTGGTCTCAAGCTGTGGTGCATGTAACCACAAACAAAGCACACTTCTGCTGACAATTGTAACTTTCTCTTTTTCGCTCTGAGTTTACACGTGCACTTCTGTCCTGGTTTGAATGATTGGCATAGTAATACATTTGAAATGTAGGTAAAGCCTTTCCCTGCCCCTCTTATTCCCCAAGAGCACAAAGAACCTTCCTTGTAGAGGTCTGGTTGTATCTGTGTTTAACTGTATACGCAGAGAAAGTACAGAAGATAACGCTCAGTCCATGTCTGTGCTACCTTTCTAGTAGCTGCAATGTATGTAGAATAGGAAATAAAAACTGCCAAAAGAGGCAGGAATGTAAGTGGAACTTTAGGTAGCAGAATGCTTATGAAGTTACAGTAAAATTTTATGGATAACATTCTTTCTTTGCATGGAATATTATACAGTAATTGATTATCAGAGGTAATATGTCTTCCGGTGTATCTGTTGAGATATTATATCTCCAGCTGGATTGTCATAGAACACCTCTTCTGCATCATCTAACTTTGTCATTGAAGGCTTCCTATTCATGAGGATAATTAGACCTTGTCCTTTGCTACTTTATAAATCTAGAAGGACCACAGTCTAAGCTGATGGTGGTTTGTGGTGTGTAATGTACGTCCTGTGTGACCAGTTTTGTTCAGGGTGCCGCAGAGGTACCCAGCTTTTGCATATTGTCCCCCTGTTTAGCAATCAGGCAGGCATGTGACAGCCTAAGAACTTGTGAAGCTCTTTGTGATGTAGGAAGTGCACACGATTACCCGAGAACCAAAGAGGTGCTGCAAACTACAAGCAGCTGGTTGGGTAGCCACAAATATCTTTATGTCAAACAAAAAGTCACAGCAAATAGTAAAAAATTTGTGATTATTTATCTCCATCCCCTCATCCTTTAATTAATAGCAAACAGGAAACTTAAATTCCCTTATCATTAATAAATATGTCTCAGTTTTCCAATAATTATTTGCTTTTCTTCAAATCCAATCCAGGAAACACTGGGTATCTGTTGTCCAATTTTGGCTCTCCCAGGCTCTCCTGCTCTCATGTTTTGGTATCATCTGTGTCACCTTTAAGCAGTTTGAGGCGCAAGTGAAAGAGCAGTCCTTGCAGTTTATGAAGTTCACATTATTTTCTAGTGCAGACAAACTAGTGGAGATTGTGTCTTAAATTCTGATGCTCATGTAAATGGTGGGTTACATTTTTCCCCAGGCTCATGCTGCTGGGGTCACCTTATTAAAGTTGTGAATCTGCTTCTGTGCCATCCTACTTTGTTTTGCTTTATCAGTTAAAATCACCATTGACTTGCCTGGTTCTGAAAAGTTGTGAGTTACTGTAATTTAGGACAGGGTTGTGTGGTGCTCAGCTACTTTGTCAGGACTGATTAATTTCTTCAGTTGTGCCAGTTTAGCCACCACTACATCTCCCAGTATGATGTAGCTCCTTCAGCCCCATGGGATTCTGAGTTTGAGGATGTTGGATTGCACGACTTGCACTCGATGTCCTCATTTGCCGCAAAAATTTATTTTCAGTGCTGAGTATAATATGCATCATTTGGCATCTGAATATGAAATGAATCTCTTCGTGAATGGTTTTGTGCAATAAATAAGATATTGTGTTTACATAAACGTTAATCAAACTCTGTAGATTGCTGTTTGATTTATATATAATGATATTTATTGCTATGAATGCTATTTTGTATGAAATGCAAATTTGTTTTGAAACCAAACCTGTTTTTCTTGCCTACATTTCAGTCAGAACTAAGACATGGTCCGTTTTACTATATGAAGCAGCCACTCACCACAGACCCTGTTGATGTTGTACCACAGGATGGACGGAATGATTTCTATTGCTGGGTTTGTCATCGGGAAGGCCAAGTCCTCTGCTGTGAACTCTGCCCTCGGGTTTATCACGCTAAGTGTCTGAAACTGACAGCGGAACCAGAGGGGGATTGGTTTTGCCCAGAATGTGAGGTTAGTTTGATAGAAGGAGCGGATTTCTTCTGTATATGAGTGATACAAACTGCTTTTTTTACACTCCAGTGTGTTTCTGTTCTATTCTTACGTACCAGAAAAAGTTGTGTGAAAAGGGAGCGTCTCTTGCTGCTTCCTTGCTTTTTCTCTGTGCGTTCACCTGGACTCTGTTGGCCATCTCACTGTGACTCTTCAACTTCTTACCATCTCTAGGGAAGGCGAATCCATTTCAAAGAGTGATCCCCACATCTTACCTTTAACTCTGAAAACATTTCACAGTTTTGTCTAGCTTACTTCATGCTGCTGCATGGGGGCTGATCAGTTCTGCAGAGTGCTCACAACATGTGCACTGTAGGGTCTACATAAACAAGAGGATATTATTAGTACTATATTTTTCTGCAGGTCTGAGGAAGAATTTAACTATTCCTCTCCAACAACTTCTGGAGAGAGAATAATTAGCATCATTGTATCTACAACGAAAGTAAATTGGTTTATCACATGTCTTTTTTTTTGGCCATGTATTGCATTATATGGAGCCCAGATGACTTTTTTCCTCATTCGTGTTGCTGGAGCTTGCACTGTATTGGGAATTGTATGTATTCCAACATTCTCTTATTTGGGTGATCTAAAAAATGAATGTAGTTTCTAAACTTTTCCCTTTTTATATATTCGTTTACTTATTTAGGCTAACATATCCAGAATTTAATAAAACAAGTATCTGAAGTATTTATGCTACTTCATAAAAAATATTTTGTTTCTTAGGAAGTAGTTATTATCTTCTGTTCAAATGCTGGGATTTTTTACTGGAGAAGAATTCACCTAGAAATGTTTGCTGACAATATTTTTTTCATCCTAATTTTTAGAAAATCACAGTTGCAGAATGCATAGAAACACAGAGTAAAGCTATGACAATGCTCACCACTGAACAACTATCATATTTGCTGAAGTTTGCACTACAGAAAATGAAACAGCCAGGGGTAAGGAAGATTTTTTTTTTTTTAATGCTTGTTCTGTATGTTTGTCATAATATTGGGTTTTGCTTCCTCTTGTTGAGCTGAGTCTAGCTCATTTTGTCAGATTTTCTGCTGTTTACCACCCGTGTATTGCAAACAGCTTCGTTCAGACTGTGTATGCTGTTCTGGAATGCATATAAAACACAGTTCCTTGGTGCAACTTCTGGAGGTAGTTTCAGTAGATGTAGTGAGGATGCAGCATAGCTTTCCAAAGGGAATTTGTGTTTTCTCACTCACTGAAAGTGAACAATGCTGGTCTTATCTGAGGTGCAAGGGAAATGACAAGGTGTGGTTTCTTACCAGCCCAGGTATGTGGGCAAGGCTATAGGTGCAGGTAATGTTACATATTTGATTATAACCCTTAATTTGATTATAAGCCAGTCTTTTCTCTGTTAGTAGGAAATTGTTCTCGCCACAAGAAGTAGTTTTATCATATACTTGTAAAACTGAATTTTTTCTCAGTGTAGTGGCAACCTGTGCCATCAACTTGCATACTGTAGGAATCTGCCATCCTATGAACTTTTATCATGGAGGGAAAATGTTGTTTCCTCTAACTTTTACCAATCTCCACATGTCTGTCTGAGATTTAACCCTCAAAATCATCATTGCCTCCTGGAAGTTTCACACATTTCAGTCCCTCATTCTTTCTTCTAAATTTCTGGTTGCTCTTTTTTCACTATGCAAGCTTTGAGTAGTTTTCACATGTGGGAAGAAAAAAGTGTAGTAAGATGTTTTAATGGATTGCCATGGCTTATCTGAATTCCTGTTGCTACCTTGTCCCTGTAAATAGATTAGAGGAGTCTCTGTGCTTGCAAGCATACAGTAAAATATATTGGAAAAACCAGATGTATGGAAGGAATCATGGGTTCTTTACAGCTCTGGTGTCTCCATGATAAATATTTCAGCAGAAACATAGTGACAGTTTCTAGGAAGGTTACTCTTTAGTATTGATAAACTTCAGCTCTTGGAGTATTTTAACTCTGGAGTGGTAGATAGTCTCCTTTTAGAAAGAGTCGTTAGCTTTTTTTTTTTTCAGAAGCAAAGTATCAGTGTGTGTTTGTGTTGAGATGACAAAATGTTCTCAACATGCAGCTAGAAAGGCAATGCAGCAGATAATGTGCAGAGTCCCACTGATGGAAGTTTGAATTTATCTGCAAGTCGCCATTGTTCTGAAAGTCCTAAGACTGATAAAGTTATTTCTAATTCTAGATAATGGGAGTGTTTGTTCTCCTAAAAACTATTTGCTGAGCCTCAGCTAATACTCTGCTCAAAAAAGATCTGCTGTAAATAAGAACAGTCCATTTTACAAAAACCCAAAGGCTTGTAATTCATCACTTCCAACATATGAAAAACCAGTTATGTGAGGGCATTTATTTCCTCGTTTTGCCAGCACTGCATTACTTCACAGATCTTTACTGTTTTTTTTGAATAATTTTCTCTGATACCACAGTTGAAAGTAGTATTAGAAGAAGAGTGACTATTGAGTTGTTGATGGAGCTGTTCAGTATTAAGAAGCTGTGTGATTTGTTTTCTCCTAACAGACAGAGCCATTTCAAAAGCCAGTTTCACTGGATCAACACCCAGATTATGCAGAATATATCTTTCATCCAATGGACCTTTGTACATTAGAGAAGGTTGGTATGAGGCAAAGGTCCTTTGAGTTTGATTGCTGTGGTTAAGCTTTCTGGATTGCTCAGTGGGAGCGAGAGAGATTGCTTGAAATTATTTAATTGTTTTGATTACAGTTTTGTTATTGTAAAACCAACTGGAAGAGCCTCTGAATGTGTCTGTTATGCAGTCTGAGCTAATGGCAAGTGCTCAGGAAAAGCAGTATAAAAAAGACAAGTTTAATCCGTATAATTCCGGGAATCATCCTGTGGGGAGACTTCATTAGTAAGATTTTATGTTTGATCACCGTGTTTGTTAGCTATTAATGCATTGCTGATACGTTGATTCCCCTTGGGACCATTTGAGTGTGTGACCAGAGGTCATTGCAGGGTCATCTGCTGGTCAAACATTAGAACATATAAAATAGCAAATAGAAGAACATCCACTGCACCTGAGATGTGGGAGAAGAAAACAGTAAAGAAGTGGATTACAGGAGTTTGTCAGTTCAGTAATAAGTTAAATGTTTCAAATTACAAAGTTCTTCATTCTCTGTCACTTTAATAGTAGTGTAGCAATGCAGAGCTTTGTTGTGGTAGTGCCTGGGTGAGGAGTCCTTATTCTCTGGGCTCTGGGAGCAGAGGTCTATGTCTTTGTGGCATAAATGTATAACAAATCCATGTCACTGATTTGATTCACCCAGGTGGTAGGCTAGAATATCAAAAACTGGCTTATGGGGTGTAGTAAATAATTTTTTTTCCTGGGTCTTGTCAAAATTAAGAAATTAAAATGCCATGCAGCGATGATGATATGCCAGTGCAAAATCAAGGACTCAGTTTTCTGTAGAGACCTCAAGCAGAATTACTGCCTCAGGAAATGGACAGGTGCTTACTGGTGCCCCTCTGCAGCCCTTTGGAATTATTGAAGATGCTGATCTAAATAGTTCACTGTTGAGAATTGGTTTAGACATTTCATAAATATTTAGGGCAGTCAGGAAACACCTTGAACTTGGAAGGTTACTGAAGTATTTAGAATGAGTTGTAATATAAGGTTTTTGTTTTAGTAATTGTGTGTCTGACAGGCAGCAGTGTTTAGGAAGATGCGAGTTTTTACTCATATCTGTTTTCTGATACATTTTTAAATGTTTCTTTCCAGAATGTTAAAAAGAAAATGTACGGTTGCACTGAAGCATTTTTGGCTGATGCCAAATGGATTTTGCACAACTGCATTATTTACAATGGGGGTAAGCACAGAGATAAACTTCTTAGAATATGAAGCTTCAGATTGGATTAAGCAATGCAGAAACTTGCTGCTGCTTGACAAATGGTGAAAGTATCTTCCTGCTAATGCCGTAGTTCTAAACGTGGCTTTACAAAAAAAAAGAATGACCTACATTTACACTTGGGACCAAATACTGCCTATGCTGTCTCCTTGCTCAGAATGAGACCTACCTGAGGAGATGCCCATTACTGAATGGTGTGTCAGTGGTGGGCAGGGACAAACGGGCACAAACAGGGAACACGTGAAGATTTTTTACTGCGCTTTGTTTGCTGGGAAGAGCCTGCCTGCTGCTTCCACAAGCACGTGTTGAATATATACCTGCTTTGCATTGTCTTTTCAGATGTTCTATGTTGTCTTCAACATAAACTTTTTATAACTAAAACCTGTTGATTTTTATCATCGTTTTATACTAACAGTTTTCTTGGTTAGAGCATTTTTCTTATTGTCTTCTCAGGAAATCACAAATTGACACAAACAGCAAAAGTCATCATCAAAATCTGTGAGCATGAGGTATGTGTACCCCAGTTAATTTGATTGTTCTATCTGTATATTTGAAGTATTCCATTGCTTGTATTTGTGATTGGAATAATGTTTTCTAATGTATGCATTACAAACTATAATTTGTGTAGTCTTTCTTATGTTTGGGGATGCATATCCATGTCTTATAGGAGGATTTTGACAAGGGCATTGCTAGTAATATTTTCCTTAGGATATTCACCATATGTAATTAGGATGTCAGTGATAGGAGAGAAGATATATGGGATCTGCACAAAGACACCTGTCTTCTAAATGAATGCTTGGAGGTGGAAAAAGAAACAGATGTTCTGATTTGTAGACATATTTGAGGTGGTTCGTTTGATGTCACAGTATGAAAGCCCTGTGAATAAATGCCTGCATTTTAGTTGATCGTTTGAAGTGATTTTATTTCACTGAGAATTCATAATGCTCATATTACAAAAATTTATTCTAAATGCAGCGTTTTTGAACGGTATTTCATTGATATGAATTATCTGATAATCTGACACTTCATATTTATGCAGAGTGCTTTTCCCACCCGTCTGCTGATGCAGCAATATCCATAATTCTAGTAAGTTTTGAGGATGTATCAATTGTTCAGAGAAAAAAAATTGTGTATGACCTGATTCTGACTTCCTAATTGGCTTATATAGTCTGAAAAAAGAACAACAAAATATTTTCTTTTTGGTCTCCTAAATTATTACGGAACTAAGTGTTCAGAAACAAATGGTGGTCAGTAATTCTTTATCACTGCAATAAATGCAACACTAAAGACAGAATGTATTTTCATGACATGAGCAGTGTATGATCTGAAGAGAGGCTTAGAAATGTGTCTTGTTTAACTGGAAAGCCTGCTTCACAGGGGTAGGAAAATAGGGTTTACTTTCAAAGTAGCATTGAATTCATGGCAGTTAAAGGTTGATTTGTGACCACAGATTTGTGGGAAATATGATGTTATTATATCACAGTATTTACTAATCACACCTTGAACTGTGATAAGTTATTGAATAATTGTTTTCCTTTTCTTTTCAGATGAATGAAATTGAAGTGTGTCCGGAATGTTACTTAGCTGCTTGCCAAAAACGAGAGAATTGGTTTTGTGAGCCTTGTGTAAGTTAAGGATGATGGTAGTCTAGCTAGTGCATTAAAGTAAAGGCTCTCATTTAGCTCTTCTTGTCCTCCTGTTGTTTTCAACCTGTGGTGGTTACTGAGAGGCTAGGGAATTAAGGAGAACTGCTAGTTTAACAAAGCGACTTGTAGTTACACGTCACGCTCATCGCGCTTGGTGGAATCAGAAGACCATCTCAAGGTGTTAGCTGTCAGACTCATGCTTTTGGAGAAGTGACTGTAAATTGCTAGCAACCAGTTTGCAGTCTCTGCCCTCAAATAAAAGGTGCCCACTGATGGGTCATTTGTGGTACTTGCACTAAGAGTAAAATTTCTGAAATGTGAATGTTTGAAAACTTGGTTTTGAGATTTCAGTATTAAGACTTGGCTTTCCTTTATTGCCTGTTAATAGGTTGTCTGACTTCTGCTTTTGTTTAATATTGCACCAAACCCTGAAAGACTTATTGAAGTTCTTAAGTAGAACTGTGTAATCCATCAAGTTCTCTCTTGAGCTTAAGTGGAAATTAGAGAATTTCAGAGGTCAACTGTAGTTTAGGATGTGCTGCATATTGGGAGAGAACAAGAAAAAAAATTATAGAATAGTAAGCCCTATTAAGATTTGTTCAAACGAGACAATATATATATATATATATATATATATTTTTTTTTAACTTTTTTCCTCCCATGATCTATTAGGTACCAAATATATAGTGAAATGGAATCTTGTGTTTGTCCAGGGTCTTGCACATTATTTAATCTAGGAAATAAATATAATTTTAAAAACTTAATGCTGTGTAACAGATTTTGAAGGTAATACTGCTAGTGTTTTCTTACTGTATGTTCTACCATCTTTCTCTAGAGCAATCCTCACCCTTTGGTCTGGGCTAAACTCAAAGGCTTTCCGTTCTGGCCTGCTAAAGCACTGAGGGATAAAGATGGGCAAGTTGATGCCCGTTTCTTTGGCCAACACGACAGGTGGGAATTTAACCAAAGCTTATTTCTGGTTATAGTTAAAAAAAAAAAAACAAAACACCTCATTGTTATTTTGTGCTCTCCAAGCTTTGGAATCCTTTTTTTTTTAATATTGACCTGGATAAGCTATAATAACATTGTAGTGTATGCAATTTTAATTCCTTACATGATGTCTGTAGAGTGTGAGCCGTGCACTTGCAAGACTTGCACCTATATGACCTCACTGATCATGCAAGTTCATTCATGTGGCAGTGAGTTTGCACTGGAAAAAAAAAATAAAATTCTTACTAGTGGAAGGGGCCAGTACTGTTGTTTGAGCTGTCTGAACACCGAGGTAGTGAACACACAATTGTAGGATGTTCTTTGGAATTGTTTTTCTCACTTGCATTTTCATGTTTCTCTGCTATGACCAATGGAAAGATTGTTTTGTAAAGATCATCTTACAGTTCTATGGACTAGTTTGGTTAAGTATGTTTTGTCCTATTGATCAGTATTTAATCTTCTTTTATGTGTTGCTGGAGAAAAGTAAAATCAGCTAGAAATATCCTAATAGAAGCAGTTTACTTATTTACCAGCGTTATTTAATGTGAAAAACCCTGTGCAATGACCTTCTAAAAGAAGGTGAAGATCCTCTGAAATGATCTCAGGTGCACATATCTTTATGATGGCATAAAGTCAGAGTTTGGGGAAAAAAAATGCTTAAAACTTCACTGTGTCAGTTAACAGCATAAACTGTCGTATCTCTGTCTTTCTGTTTGATTTATAGGGCCTGGGTTCCAATAAATAATTGCTACCTCATGTCTAAAGAAATTCCTTTTTCTGTGAAAAAGACGAAAAGCATCTTCAATAGTGCAATGCAAGAAATGGAGGTTTATGTTGATAACATTCGTAGGAAGTTTGGAGTATTTAATTACGCACCTTTCCGGACACCGTATACTCCCAATAATCAATACCAAATGTTGCTAGATCCTACAAACCCAACTGCCGGAACTGCAAAGACGGACAAGCAAGAGAAAATCAAACTGAACTTTGATATGACAGCGTCACCGAAGATTCTCATGAGCAAACCCATGCTGAGCAGTAGCACAGGCCGTAGGATTTCGCTGACAGATATGCCGCGGTCGCCAATGAGTACCAACTCATCAGTGCACACCGGGTCTGACGTTGAGCAGGATGCAGAGAAAAAGGCAACTTCCAGCCACTTCAGTGCAAGTGAAGAATCCATGGATTTTATTGAGAAAAATACAGGTAGAAAGGGGCTGTAAGACTGCGTATGGTTAATTCACTAGTTGGAATCGTTGTGATTAGGAGGCATTTCATTTAAAATTGGATAGCTCTTTTTCAAGGCTTTGCCTTTATTTATTTGCTTTCGATAAGACTTAAAATTTATCGGATATAAACTTTTGCCAGTGCTGCCCAGTTAGGTGGAGGTGGTGCTGCACAAAAGAGTTGTGGTATCATTTGTTCACCTTCTGTGGAACAGCACTGGTAATGCACATGTTTCTTAATTGTGTGAATTAGTGGTGGGCACATTTGAAAGAGTCAGAACCAGCAGAAGTGACTTTGAGATTTGAGATAAATTTTGTTTATCAGGTCAGTATTGCAGCTGGAGAAATCGGTGCTAAATAACCACCGTCCCCTCTGCCCCTACATCTGTTTCAAGAAGCTTAATGTAAAAAAAAAAATAAAAATCAACCAACAAGAGTCATATGTGACACTTATTCTGCAGTGTTTGTGCAGCCCAGCAGTTTCTCCAAAACAAGCAGGCAGGCATGTATGCCAAGTGGTCAGTAGATATGATGCCATTTGGGTATCTTATTCCTCCTCAAAGCTGAGCTGTGAAACCACCTTTGGCTCCAAATTATCTCATGGAAATTGTGATAAAGTAACTGCATCAGTTTTAAGTGTTGAGAACACATAGATATTTCAGTAGAGAATAACATGTCAAAAGGAATAGTTCATTTTATACATCAGTTATCAAGGATGTATATGTGTGCAGTTTTCCTGCACAAGCTGTAGCTTACAGGTACTGTTTTCTGTTTTAAAACTTATTTACGTTATTATTTCTTTATAATAGTAGAGATTGTTACCAAAATCACATTAAAGCTGTCCTGTTAGAGAAAGGTAATAGGAGATATGGGATAATATTATCCTATTATTTTGCATTCTTGAACATCATAGCAATTCTGGGGAACTGTCACTTTCCTCACATCTTGCTGATCCTGTCTTAGTGCATAAATTGCCAGATTTGACTTAACAGCAGGCAGTTGGAATTGATGGAGGTCCCTTGCAACCGAGCTCCTCCACGTGCAGGCTGGATGTGGCTCTGGGCAGCCTGGTCTGCTGGTTGGCGACCCCACACACAGCAGGGGGTTGAAACTGGATGATCATTGTGGTCCTCTTCAACCCAGGCCATTCTATGATTCAATGATTAGCTGATTTTTATATTCTAAACTCGTATGTTCCAATTTCCCACCTGGCATTTCTTCCTGTATATTGTCACAAATGCTAATTTTATTTTTTTTAATTTAGCTGTCGTGTTAATGGAACGTGTGATGTGATTAAAATGAGGATTAACTAACTTTGTTTATTGTAAAAGAAAATTCCGGGTAGGATGACTGCACTGTCTTTAAATAGGAATGCTTTTATTCAGATGGAATGGATGGTTCTGTTGTGCATTTGGAGTGATACGAAGGAAATAACTTTGGAAATAACTTGCAACCTTGTTCTGGGATGTAGCAAATGAATTGTAGCTGTCAGATGCAGTGTTCAGCTATGACTTCAGGGTAACTTGTCAGAACGTTAAACAGGAGTTTAATGCACAGCACTTGCTGTCAGAAATCAGAGGTTTTTTTCAGGTTATGGCCTACGAAAGCTTCCTTCTGTAGACTGACTGGGAGCTTCCTGAAGTTCATGTTTGAAATGCGACTCTGGATGTTTTGGAGGATCAGAGCACAGACTTTTGCTTAACTGTGTAAAATTAGAATATCCCACTGCCTTATCTGAGGGATTTTTGTCACTGATCTCCAGCTGCACTGACTGAAACTTAATATGATTTCTTTCAATTCTCTATTAACATCTCTAGAAAATAGCTGGACTTTTTTGTTAATGTCTACCTGCATACATGCAGTAAAATAATGGCAATTCAGAGTCTAGAGTTCACATTTAAAATAACCAAATCTCGAAAGCTAGAATCTTGAAAACAGAGAGGTTTTCAGGGTAAACGTGCATTTGGTGTAATGAAATAAATCATGGTAGTGTGATTTTCCTTACAATTTCTTCTTTTATTAAACTAAAGTCTAAGGGTATTTGAAAGTTAGCAGTGGAGGTATAGAATAATATTTAAATGATTAAACAAAAACCTTTTCTCTGCTTTTATAAGTTGAAAAGCTGTTTTGGCCCAGCAAATATGGCTTTACTGTGATTATTTTTAAATCCATCCTTACTAATTTTGTACTTTTTTCAGCTTCCCCTGCACCAACGAGAACAGGTCAAGCAGGGAGCTTGTCAGGCAGTCCCAAACCCTTCTCTCCTCAAGCGTCAACGCCAATTTCTGCTAAGCAAGAAAGAACTGCCACTCCAGGAAGCATTCTGAATCTGAATCTTGGTTAGTGTTGACTTTCAGAAGTCCAAGTATGTTATAGCTGGATAAATCATGGGGGTGCCAAAATAACGTGAACAAACTTACTTCTAGGTAGATTTAAATGAACAAAGAACTTTAAGTGTGGCTTTGTGTAATTGTTGTTTCATCAAATAAGATGTTTGATGTTTTGTAAGTGGAATTGAAAGTTCCTGTTGCTTTTTCTTCTTTTTGATCAAAATAAGTTTTTAATGGGTGATTTCATAGCTGAATTGTACAAATAAGTGTTTCTAAACAGTAGGTAAGTTTGTAAAGCTTATAATTACATGAACTGCTGATGAAGTTTTCACTTGTCTTGTGGTTTTGCAAACTTCATGTCTCTTCTTCACTGACCATCTGTATCAAGGGAGATACTGAGATTAAGAGATGAATTAGGAAAGTACTGCTTTGGTAAGGCAGTTCTGAAAGCCAAACAGATGTAAATCAATTTGCCCAATCATGTTTTGCTTCTACAGATATTCTGAGTCAGTTCTGGTTATATTTTCCGTCCACTTGATGTTACATGGAGTGACAGAATTTTTCCCGGTCTTCACCAAATACTTCAGGAAGGCTGAGATCAAGTTCTGCATTCTTTTAGACATACCATACTTTTCAGTGTTAGTCTGTGCTTGTGATATAACCATGGAATTACTTGTGCTGCACCACAGCTGTTTGTCTTTTTTATCAGATGTAACAATGCATTATAAAAAAAACCAAACACAAAAAGAAACATCATATGGGAACTGTTTGAGCCATGGATGGGAGGCATTAGCTTGAACATAGAACATTCTGAATAAATGGGGTAGAACTGAAAAACCAATGTTATGGCCCGTGAGCAATACTGTAACAGAACAGCTACTGTGCTTTCTGGTAGAGTATCAATCATTTATTCAGCTTTAGGGGGATTTCTTTTCCTAAATATGCTGTTTGATGCTAGAAATGAAAGTGGCAGCTGCATTAAACATGATTCCATCTACAAAACCCGTGGATTTCAGACACGACCTGTGGTGTCTTATTTTCAAGCGCAGTGTGAAAAGGGATTCCCCTAAAAAGCAAAAGTGAAAATATGCAAAACAAAAACTTGTACCTTAAGCAGAGTACTAGAAGGGCTGTGATCCTCCAGTTCAGCAAGGAGGAAGGGGAAATAGTGAAAAGGAGCCACCAGTTGTTGCTGGTAGACTGGCTAAAGTGCAAAGTGGAAGTGTGAATGACCAAGCTACACACAGATTGCTTGGAAAAATATATGTGGTACAGGGCCTGTCCTTGTGAAATGGAGACAGAAAAGACAGAAAACTTTCATGCAGTAAGGAATGAAATTCTTAGGATGGATGATAAGAAACAGTAAAGACTAGAGATGAGAATTTGAAGATTTCTCCTCAGGGTGTTTGCCTGCCCTCTGGCTCTGTTTTCTTTCTGCAGCGTCAACAAGGCAAATTGGAAACTCAGATCTTCTCAGTGAGACCCCCCTCGTGGGCTGGGCAGATAAATTTGGATTGTGAGACTACTTCCATGTTAAGATTCAGGATGCCCTGGGGAGGTGTTGTAGTGTCTCTTGTCTCCGTTTTTCACACTTCAGATTGTCTGCACTGTTCCTCAGTAAGGTTTGCCTCACATGGACATTCTTCTTTTTGTAAAAATTTTTTTTTAATTCCTTTTCTAGATCGAAGCAAAGCTGAGATGGATCTGAAAGAGCTGAGTGAGTCAGTCCAACAGCAGTCCACTCCTGTGCCACTCATTTCACCAAAACGACAGATACGTAGTAGGTTCCAGCTTAATCTTGACAAGACAATAGAGAGTTGTAAAGCACAACTTGGTGAGTATCCCAAGAATGCAGTGGAAGCCTGGAGGATGAATTTGAGAAAATGTTGAGTTGGAGTCTAAAAATAAAAAAAGCATTTTCAAATATTGAAACTTTAATTTTTTTCATTAAAACAGGAGTAGAGGCTATTTGAGCTCTTAGAGGCAAATAGAACTGAACATGTCTAACTTAAACTCTGGCAAAAGCTGACATGTCTGATTTTTGCCAAAAAGCTTTCATCTTGTGATCTGTTTTTGCACCATTCTGACGTAGATGGTTTGGCAGAACTGTAGTCTTACTATTTGCTTTGTACACTGAAAAACCAAAGATCTGTGCCTGACTTTTATGTTTGCTGCACAGATGTGTATATCCAGTGACGAGGGCACTCCCTACTGTTGAAAAGCATTAACAATCCAGCAGTTAATTGAAGGTTAAAAAAGTACAGATTCTCCTTACAAAAGTTATGCAGTCTGAAACTGATTCTTCAAACATGCATAGAAATAACTGTGGTCAGTTGAATAGTGTTACTGATTTTAAGGTGGTTTCTTGTAGTTACTAATCATTCCTGTTAATATTTGCCAGTGTTGGCCCAACATTGAACAGAGCTATAGCTTGCAGGTAGTGAAAAAATAGTGTGAAAGGAGGGCTGTTGAATCAAATAAAAATAAGAATTAGGAGTATGGAAGGTAATTCTCACTCGTGATACTGCGATAGGGCTGTAAGAGAGATGCTTATAGCTTAAGGATTGACAGCTAAGGTAGTGGTACCTCTCTATTTTGTTCTACAAAGGGCCGGGTTTGGGGTTTTGTTTTTTTTCTTTTCTCTTTGGTAATACCAGCCAGTCTGATATTAGCATGGACTGTACTTTCCTCCCCACATTTAGGAATAAATGAAATATCTGAAGCTGTTTATACTGCAGTAGAACACAGTGACTCTGAAGATTCTGAAAAATCTGACACCAGTGACAGTGAATATAGCGATGAGGATCAGAAATCTAAGAATGATCAAGAAGATGGAGAGGATAAGGAAGGTACAAGAAGTGACAAAGAATCATTAAGCTTGAAAAAAAAACCTAAGCCCCCAGCACAGAATGAAGATAAGGAAGATCTTAAAAGCACAAGTCCAGAAGTGGAGAAAGCAGATGACCCAGTCAAAGAAAAGGCAATTACAGACACTGAAAAAGAGTTTTCTGAAAAGGGAAAAAGTTTGCAACATCCTGCAAAAGAAAAACTGAAAGGTAAAGATGAAACGGACTCTCCAACAGTGCATCTGGGACTGGACTCTGATTCTGAGAGCGAACTTGTCATCGATCTGGGCGATGATCACTGCGGGCGTGAAGGACGGAAAAACAAGAAAGAGTCAAAAGAGCCTCCTCCTAAACAAGATGGTAGGATGAAATTCTTATTTGCCCTTTATCATTGCACTGTTGTTCAAGCCAAAGCTGTAAGCTCTATCTTTGCATTTAAGATGGTGAAAATATATGTACTAGAGCAATGTTTATGAATGATTTTTCATTCTTGGTGAGTAAGCGATATTTTCAGTTCTATAATTTCTGCATTCAGTTTAAAAAAAAAAAATAATTATTTCATTGAAATTACTTTCAGCAACATAAAATTATGAACGCACATTTGTTCTGTCACAAATTTAGAAATTTGGTTCTGCTTCAGCCACCAGTCAAACATAAATACATTTCCATGGATGTCCCTAAACCGCAGCTGTATAAGCACTACAATTTTTCAGAGATACAAATTGCATGAGTTCCAATTAAATGCTTTAAGGAGGATGGAAGCTTTTTTGCTTTTGCAAGAGGGAGAAAGAGCTCTAAACCTTAAGGGGAGGAGGATTATCATCCCAGTAAAGACAGTTCCTTGATCAATGCTGATGTTTCACTGTCAGGCTGTATAGCAAGAGAATGGGATACACGGAACAGTCATCTATAAGCTATGGGGTGACAGGTATAAGTGGAAACCTAGAAACATCGTAACAAATGGTAACTTCTTGTTCTTCCAGGGAAGTCTTTTTGTTTACAAGCAGCCAGGATGGGTTATGAAAGACTTGATTAACACGGTTTATGTCTGTGACATGATGGCTGCTTTGTAACTGAGGGAAGGGCTGTGGATGTTGTTCACTTAGGTTTTAGTAAAGTGCTTGACACTGCCTTCCCCAGTACTGTCCCAGAGAAGCTGGCTGCTTGTGTCCTAGGGAGGTGCAGTTTGCTGGGTGAAGAGCTGGCTGGCTGGGGTCAGAGAGGCCTGGTGGGGGAAGCTCAGTCCAGCTGATGATCGATCACCAGAAAGTTGTGGACCATACCACATCAGGTGGGTCTGCTTGAGAGTGGGAAGGCTCTGCAGAAGGATCCCGATGGGCCGGACTGATGGGCCAAGCCCCTGACATTCAACAAGTCTAAATGTCAGGTGCTGCACTTGGGTTACAACAGCTCCACACGGTGGTACAGGCATGGGGAGAAATGCCTGGAAAGGTGCCAGGCAGAAAAGGACCTGATGATGCTGGCTGACAGCTGGCTGCACAGGAGCCAGCAGCGTGCCCGGGTGATACTGGTGAGGGCCAGTGGCATCCTGGGCTGCATGAGAACTCGTATGGCCAGCAGGGCAAGGGACTTAGTGGTCCCCTTGTATTGATGAGACCATGCCCTGAACATTGTGTTTGGCTTTGGGACCCCCACTATGAGGAGGATTTTGAGTTGTTCGAGTGTGTGCAGAGAAGAACAACAGCACTGGTAAGGGGAAACGACACAGAAAACAGGAGTTATGAGGAGTGGCTGAGGGAACTGGGATTGTTTCATCTAGGAAAGAGGAGGTGGCTCTCTGCCATTACCTGAAAGGAAATTGCAATGAGGAAGGTGTCAGTCTCTTTTCTCACTCCATAGGACCCAAGGAAACAGTCTCATTTTCAGCAGTGGAGATTCAGATTGGATGTAAGAAAGAATTTAATCGTGGGTGGGGGAGTAGTTAGGCATTGAAATGGGATTCCCAGGGAAGTGGTGGAGTCCACTGGAGTTCCATCACTTCACTGGTGATGGAACACAGTAGGTTGGGTTGGCGGTCGGTCCTGGTGATCGTGAAGATCTTTTCCGACCGTGATGGATCTATGATTCTGTTCTAATTCCGTGACAATTTCTGTTCTGGAAGGTGCACGTGACTCTTCAAAATTTGATGTGAAATTATGGATCAGATGTGGTGGTGAAAAGTTGACAATACATTTTGTTTAGTTGTAGGTAAAACTCCACCTTCTTCCAGTGCAAGCACCCAGCCCCTGCCAGAAACCCCAGTTCTCACCCGCTCTGCGTCCCAGACTCCACCAGCTGGTGTGACTGCAACTACTAGTGCTACTTCTACTGTTAGTGCTCCATCTGCAGCCACTGGAAGCCCTGTGAAAAAGCAGCGGCCTCTGCTGCCTAAGGAAACTGCCCCTGCTGTGCAGCGAGTAGTGTGGAATTCTTCCAATAAATTTCAGACATCTTCTCAGAAATGGCACATGCAGAAGGTGCAGAGACAGCAGCAACAGCAGCAGAACCAGCAGTCTCAGTCACAGCAGCCTCAATCCTCTCAAGGGACAAGATATCAGACAAGACAAGCAGTTAAAGGTATACACTTTCTAACTCAATGTGCCCGTGATGCCATAATCCCCCAGTAGTGATGTCAGTGCTCCCAGGCTGCCTAACCAGGAATTTCTTCCATATAAACAAAATCTCAAAGTGTGGTTCTTCTTTTATAAATGACTATGAAATACAGCAACTCACCATACCTGCTCTTTCTGGTGTGTATTTAGTCATGTCTCCTTATTTGAATGACAAACCATTTGTGTATCTGTAAAATATCTTTGCCATTCTTAGCCATCAGTTCTGAAAGACTAAACTGATTATTTTCTGCTTTACATGATGAAATCGTTAATTCTGTTTCAGTTGCATGATTACCATTGTTATCTCAGCATCTACAATCTGGATCCAATTTTATTTGCCAAGAAGCTGATTTGTACAGGCTTTTTTTTTTCCCCCCCACAGGTTAAATGAACATTTTTACTATTGAGTGCATTGTAACAATGTTCTGTCATATGATATGCTAGAAATATCAGATGAAAACACTCTAGGATATACAGATCTTCTTATATACTGAATTGATGTTAAATAGTACAAAGTTAAATTTAAGAACTGTTTTATTTCAGTAATATTTCAGCCTTTAGAGGATACCATCAACTGAGATCTTTACAAAGTGAATTGTTAAAATTAAATTGAAAACTAAGGCAGGTAAGTCATTAGGGATGGAAAGGTGAAGCTCTTCATGTTTTGATTTGTACTCTTATTTTTGAATTACCAACTGTTTTAAGATTATTTGAAATATTGAGCACGTTTGACAAAGCCTTCCTGTTTACTGACTTTCATCCCACTTGAGTTAATTCTATAAATAAATTCTTTCCTTTAATGAGTTAACCTTGCATTACATTCCTTGCTCTCCAACCAGAGGCTGAGTTTGGGCTGGATGTATTACATTAAACATGTCACAACACAAAACTAACAATAATTAGTAGCACTAATAGCAAACGAATGCAAATAACACCAGGAAGTACAACTAAAATTCTTACTAAAGCTCTCTTCAAAAGTAGCTCACTAAATCTTGTTTCTAAAGGAACAAAGTCAGTAATGTACTTTCAGATGGTGGCAAGTGAAAATGTTCAAGACAGGCTTGTGCTCATACCTGTGGTGCTAGCTGGGGGCTGTCCAAGTGGAGAGGTTAGGAGATGGGATGGGAAAGTCCCAGAATGGGAAGAACGATGATCAGAGGGAGACTTTTGCACTGACCAGTCTAAACTTGCAGGTTTTGAAGTTCTTTGCTATCTTGTCTTGAAGCTGTATAATTATATGTGAGTTCAGTGGCTGGTCACTGTACAATCAATTTGATAAATGGCACCTTTGTATCAGTAAGAAAAATCTTGAGATTGTTGAGGTGCACACATTTAATGAACATTAAAGTTAGGAGTTACCTATTCATCTTCATAATTACTTGTGATTAATGGTCTGCTGTGTGTTCTTTCCGTAGCTGTGCAGCAGAAAGAGATCACCCAGAGCACTTCCACATCAACTATAACTTTGGTTACAAGTACTCAACCTATCTCTATGGTTACAAGTTCTGGATCTGCAAATACACTTTCTTCCTCAGTTAATACAGACTTGCCAATCGCAACAGCCTCAGCTGACGTGGCTGCAGACATTGCTAAATACACTAGCAAAGTAAGTCCTTGAAAAAGATCTTCTTAAACTTATTTTTGTGATGAATTTTAAAGTTTTTTAAAATTTCAAATTCTGAAATAAAAAATCTTATTTAGAAAGTAACAAGCAGTAGGTAGGAGCAGTCAGACTGCTGGGATCTGAGCTGTTGTTGTAGAAGCAGCTGAATGCTGTCATTCTAAGCCAGAGGCTAAGCACGGCCTGCTCGAGGCTGCCCAGGCACTCACACTTTGTCTCGCCCGTATTTCCCCATCACTTCTTTTGGACACGTTGCATTGCACTTTGGACAATTTTCGGTATCTCCTCACCATATCTTTACAGTAAGCACTAATAATCATCATATGCATTCGGTACAACACTCAGATGCAACTGTTTTAAAACTCTGCAAAGCTTCATCAGATTGTAACCTGTCCTGAGTGTGCATTCAAGTATTAAAACTGAAGCTTAGTTGTTAAACAGATGATGCAGTACTTGTAATATTATAAAGGTGATGGTGGAGTGAGGGAGATCAGCTTTTGGTATATTCTCTTAGGTCTTTGAATTAAGACAAACAAAAAAGAGAGTACTATAAATAAGTATGCAGACATTAAAAGCACTTGAAAACAACAGAATCCTGGCAGAAAGTGCTTTCTTGTACCTTCTAAAACAGTACTTCAAAAGGAGATTCAGATAAACATGTATATATGCACATAGATACTAATAGCAAGAAAGGCTCACATTGGAGTGGCTGAAATGAAGTTAAAGTGGTTATCTGTTAAAAATAGGTATCTAAGACTTTTATTTGTCTTTCAGATGATGGATGCCATCAAAGGAACAATGACTGAAATATACAATGATCTTTCAAAAAATACCACTGGAAGTACAATAGCTGAGGTTAGTGCAAGATGGAGAGAAGCCTGCTTCACCTTCACAAGTTGTAAAAGAGTGTTTTATGCATAAAAATACCACATGCTATCATAATGCAATCACATACTGCATAAGAGTTACATGATTATGACCATAGATGTAATACTTCTTTTTTAGTTTGCTGGTCATATTATCACTGGTTTTACTACAGAGCACCAATAAAAGTGTCTTCCTGCTAAATGTTGCATTCACTGTCAAGGTAGTACTTGGTGTCTTTAAAGTGTTTTCTTTAAAGCTGGCAAAACCAGATTAAACAAAGTAAACTATGAATGAATGTGAAACGTGAGCAAGAGAAAGCTCAGAGTTAAGTGTGAAATCTTTTGTTTGTTTGTGTTAAACATAAGAAGGAAGCTGCAGTTTAGAGCAGTGGTGTTCCTAGTGAATGAAAAACCCACTTTTGTAAGTCTGGGTGCGTTGAAATAAAAGAATCAATCAAGTGGCACACAACCAAATACAAGCAAAACTGAGAAACAGATTTTTGTTGTGGTTGGAGAAATTGGAGACCTAACTAATTCTAGATGTAAGACCAAGTTTAATTGAAGTGGGTTTTGTTTTCAAACGATCTTGCACTTTTTATGATAGGAAAACCTACCAAGAAAATAGAATACCTATTGCCCATGTTATTGAAAAGGAGCCTTAATGTAAGTGATGATGAAGCTCTTTGTTAGAGCCTTGTATTTTTGTACATAGTTGTGCTATATACTGTACTCTGTCATCACTACTAAATATTAACATTTCAATATTTGTAATATCCAGATTCGACGTTTGAGGATTGAAATAGAAAAGCTTCAGTGGTTACATCAGCAGGAACTCTCAGAAATGAAGCATAATCTGGGTATGAAAATGGCAAATACAAAATCTAAATGCTTGTAGCATGCATTGTCTTCATGTTAGCTACCAGAGATTGTCCACATGAAGGGTAGAACACTGTAGAATGTGCTGCCAGTATCAGTGGGTACCATTTCAATCCGTACACAGATGACTTTTATGTGTGCATAGTAAGCAACAGGTTTCAGTCCTCTGAAAGAAATCCAGGCTACAGAGATTTTTGATTGAATGTAACTGGTTTTTTTGGTTTTTTTTTAAATGCACCACTGGATAATCTCTTTAGGAGGATAGGATATTTTATGCTGATTACTTCATACTAATGAAGTATGTAGCTGGCAAATGTTGCTCCGATTTTCAAGAAGGGTAAAATAGAAGACCCTGGTAACTACAGGCCTGTTGGACTGTCTTCGTTTCCTGATGAAGTTACATAGAAGGTTATTCTTGGAGTTGCTGAAAAACACTTTGAAAGGCAGTGCAGTTATTGGTTGTTGCCAGCATGGGTTCACACAATGGGAAAATCCTGCTTAAATTAATGTTGTTTTATGACAAGGTTACCCACGTAGTTGACCGAAGGAAGTTAGCAGGTAGGATACGCACAGAATCCAAAGGCAGGAACTGGGAGAATGTAGGGCATTACCCAGATTTGAGACCTTCTGAAATACCTGATGGTGCTCAGGGGACCTGGTGAGGTGCTTCTGGAGGTACTGAGGAAACTGGTAGATTAAGTTGCTAAGCCTCTGCCTGTATCATAGAGAAATTGTGGCAGTGAAGTTCTGATAGACTGCAAAAGGGAAAACACAACTGCCATTTTTTTTTAAAAGGGAAAAAAGAAGAGCTGGATTGCTGCAGGCCAGTCATTTTCACCTCTGTGCCCAGCATCATGGAGTGTGGTAATAAGCAGCCTCTTTAAACTTAGAGAGGTTGGAAGACTGTCATTTGCTGAGTGGGTGTGAAGCAGATACACCTAAGTTTAGGGAATATTTTATTAGCTTTCGTTTCATGGAGAGGCAAAATTTATTTATCTTTGTATTTTGAGTAGAACTGACAATGGCTGAAATGCGTCAGAGTCTAGAACAAGAACGGGATCGCTTGATTGCTGAAGTGAAGAAGCAGCTGGAAATGGAAAAGCAGCAAGCAGTGGATGAAACTAAAAAGAAGCAGTGGTGTGCCAACTGCAAGAAAGAGGCCATTTTTTATTGCTGTTGGAACACTAGCTACTGTGACTATCCCTGCCAACAAGCTCACTGGCCTGAGCATATGAAATCTTGCACGCAGTCAGGTAATCTTGCTCTGGGTTGCATGTTTCACAGCTAAGGGGAGCTGGGGTGGATGTAACAGACAGAGATTCAGTGTTCTTCATTTGCACGTATGCAGATATGCCTGTTAAGATTGAAGACTGGTGCACAAGAGTAGTGGCTCTGCTTTCTTCTTTTTCTTTAGCTACTGCAACACAGCAAGAAGCCGATACTGAAATTAACACAGAAACATTAAATAAATCATCCCAGCCCAGTTCAAGTGTGCAGCCTACGCCCACGGAAACAGCCAGCACCCCCAAGGAAAAGGACGTTTCAACTGATAAAAGCAAAGAAAGCGTTACAGTGAGTATTGCTGTGGTCACTGCAAACCACTTCAAAACTAGAGTCCTCTGAAACCTACCCCTAAAGGCCTCCCTGGATCAGCTGGGAATTTATGGCCGTTTGCATATTTCAAAATGTGTGATTTGGGGAGTAAGAGAGTTGTGGCTCTTTGTTTTTTTTCCCCCTGTCATCTTGGGAAAAATCTCCTTCTGTCCTCTGGGAATACCCTTTCCCCTGCACTCATTCCCAATAAGACCTTGTGTTGGCTTGACTCATCCTTCCAGCCAAGGGGGACTGGACCTCTCTCTTTCTCTCTCTCCAGGACCCATCAGTGTAGCTTCTGGTCTGGATCTTTCGATACAAGTTGCCTTCTGATAAGCAATACTGACTGCAGCACTTCCAAGCCCTTCTTACCTGGGGTTTCAGAGGCCAAGCTCAAGACCTGCATTCAAATCAACTTACTTTATCACAACAGACTGCCACTAGGGTACCACAATGTTCCATAACACTGATACAGCAATCCACCTGGATCTACAGCTAACGAAGCAATGTACAATTCTGAAATCCTCCATATCATCTACTCTGATAGTATTCAGTAGGCAAGGATGAGCAAACGCTCCAATAAAAGGGACTTAACATTGCATATATAGAAAATGTTTATAGAGAAGATTCTGCTTTATAGGTAGGGCTTGACTATTAGCAATTTCAGCACCATTTTTCTTCTGCCCATGCAAGATTTGTTAAATGAAAAATTTTATGGGGGGCTTCTCCTTCAGACCCTTTACTTGATCCTCTACATCAGTAGGAGCCTTGTTGTATTTTAAAATATTAAAAGCAAACTAATTTTGTAGTATTGTGATTCCAGCATGATGTCTCATTGAGATAGTTCTTCTAGAATTGGGAAGCATAGTATAATAGAGAGCTGTGTTCATTTCTTGACACTTTTGCTACTGTCTGGTGTTAGATCTCTGGGCTTGACATGTCATCTAAGGGAGTAACTTGGGAAACAGATTAAAAGAAGGGGTAAAGGATGTGCTGTCCCACCTGGATTCTGGGGGGAAGTTCTTTGAACTTCTTTGGCTCAGTTGAAGCTCGTATGTATTGTCTGTGGCAGTGTGACCTTTGTACTACTGGGAGAAAAGGGGATCAGAGAAAATCAATTGCCTAAAACTTTGGCCAGGGAATATTCCAGTTATCCTAATCTGGAATTGCTTTCACATAGGTATTCTACCTGAAACATCATGCTGTGTACATTGATCATGTTCATAATTTGAATTTTGTTTTATAAACAAAGAATTAACCTGTGAATTCATTAAGATACAAATTTTTAGCACAAACAAAACATCCAACATAAATTTCATACAGTAATAGTAATGACTAGGTGGAATTCATGTAAAAGCTGAGACTTTTACTGAGGTTGCCTGTGCTGTCTCTGCAGATAGCAACAGGTGTGACAAGCAACCAGCCTATAAAACTGGTCCAGGTACCGCAGAGCACCACCTATATTCCAACCACTCAACCCTCAATTGTAAGTACGATGTCATCATTTAAAGTCTGCAGTAGTGCTGTTCCTGGCATTAAAATTGCACAGTATTTCTGGGGGGTTGTCTCCATTTGCTGTTCTAATTAAGATATGAATTCACTGGTGTAGTTTCAGTTTGCAGTGCAAAATGTCCTATTTTGCTGTGCAACATTCCACCCTTCCATTTCATCATTGATTGTTACAAGGATTCAGGAACCCTCCTTAAGAACAGCTAAGGCACTGAGGATAGTCAGACTTCCATTTTACATTATTGTGTTAGTTATTTCTGTTTCATGTATATACTTGAACACAACGTCAATGTAAATATATAGAATTCATTTAAAATATCTTTTAAATATCTTTTTTTGTCTATGGTATCCTAAAGAGATTCAATGAGTTCTGAGCTATGCTTGATATTTCCATGACATCTCAGTAACTATGAAAGAAAAGTATGCATTCATCAGTAGTGTATCTCCCATGCAGTCTTGCACACTAGCGTGAAATTGAGAAATAACATTGAATTCAGACCTGTTTTTTTCCATTGAAAACTTAACCAAGGACACTTGAATGCCCTTTTATCAGTCACTGGAGATGGGACGACAGTGAGGTTTGTTTTCTTTATTTTGCATACCATAATATCACATTCTTTCAGTGTGATGTTCATTCATGTTCTGCAGTGTGCGCTTCACTGTCAGCGTGGCACCTGAGCTGACCTCTTACCAAGAACAAAATTGCTGATGCTGCACTGGTAGCTGACCCGCATGCCTTGTCTCGAGCGGTGGGCTCAGCTGAGCAGCCCATGTTTCGGTCACTACAGTTAATTTTCTGACTGAAGCTAGATAATAGCAGTTCAGTTTTGATGTTGTGACTGTGAGGCTCAATCAGCTCAGTCACTGTCCTTCTTTTGCTTTGTTTACACACACGGACGTGCATGCACCCCCACCAGCTGCAACGTTCACACACCTGTGTGCAGGAATGCATGCACCTCCACACACACTGCAGTGTTTCATAGCCATCACATTCGACAGAAAAAATGTACTGCTCGTTGTGGATATCATGACTTGTCACATTCCTAAGCATTTGTACTCAACTCGTTTGTCTCGACTGAGAGCACAGTGCACCTTTGCAGGATTGGCCCTAAGTCGTTTGAACTGAATTGCCGTAACAAGGCTTTGTGTGTTTGCAATCAAATAGCAAGCTTCAAAGAAGTTAGGCTCTCTCGTGCATAGTTGAGAGGTTCTAAGATCATAAGGTGGTTTCATGTAACATTCAGAATAACGGCAGTAACCTTCATCAGTTTTCTGTTATACAAAGTGTTGAGTAACGTGAAGCGTAAGTGGAACGTCTGAAGGTTTCAACCTTTATTTGTGCATGTTTGAAACGTTGTACACATTTGCATTAGCCTTGCACAGCTACAGACACCTCTGTACTCTAATGACTGCACGTGCAATTTAAATAATTTTAAACCTTAATGCATGTTTATTATGTATGCAAAATGTACAAATGTGAAAAGCTGGCAGAGGTGGAAGATTTACCTCTCAGGGAATGATCCTAACGCATTTAAGGAGTCTTGCACATTCCATATCCCGATCACTCTAATAACTGAAACTTAATTTTCTCATTTGTGTAAGTGTGTACATGTAAAAGACAGCTGTGGCAACCTTAATTTTCCTGCCTGTAGTGCTAACAGTGATGTACATAGTGGCTTCTTTAGAGTTCAATTTGCACTTTGTTTCCCACTAGGCATTTCCTCCCTCTGCACAACTTTCAGTGTATCTTCTGGGTGCCGTTTCCACTGAACCCTCTTTACACCTCTGAAACCATTATCAAATGACTTTAACCTTGAACTTATTCAGAGAACTGATTTCACATTTGGTTTTTATTCTTTCTGCAGTTGAAATGTCGTAAACATTTAAATTCATCATCTTTGCATTCCAGGGAATGGAATCAGTAGGCTTCTGGAAGGCACAGATTTTGTCACAAAGGAGCTGACCAACACTAGGCTGTAATCCATCTCAGCAGGGACACTCTCAGTCTTTCCTGAATACCATCAAGGCACTGATGTGGTTTCTTAAATTTATGGGGGGAAACATAGGGCTCCGGTGAAGTTGTGTGTTGTTCTTCCACGTTTGCTTAGGAAGCCTACAGTAACCTTGGGGGGAGTCCTGGGAGTCCCTTCCACATTTCTCAAATTCTCACTCCTTGTTTCTTCCACAAAACGTTGTGAGCTGAAATGGATGCATCTGTTGGGTCACCAGTTGGCCATCGCTGGCGTTGTATCAAAACATACTTGCAGTTTGTGTGGCATAAACGTTTCTAAGCTTTCTCACGTTTTTGTAGGAAGGTTAAGATACAGACTTAAGATTCAATAAATCCTTTTCCGGATGTTCCAGAGTGACGTGACGTTGACCAGATTGTTTAACATTCTTGTGCCTTTGTCTCTGCATCCGTAGAACCCATTTCTACCCATAGAGATGTCCTGAAACTTCACTTGTTAAGATTTATAGATCATAATCTGTATGATGGAAGTGAAAAGTTTATTCTATATTAGTATTTTTACAGGCAGTGTAAGACAATTCCCAGTAATGCTGATGTTTTTGTTTTCAATTTGTGCAAAAGTTTAAGAACCTTTTTGTTTAAATGGATGTTCTCTGTTCTGTGTAGACTGAACGCATGGGGGAGTTCCTTTGAGGGGGAGGGGGGGAAGATGTAAGGGATATGCTTATAAACAAGGGTATTTTTGTACTCCAGGTTGATTTGTTGGAACTTTTTCAAATGACAGAGGATTTTCTTAGCCCTTTTTCCTCTTCCTGTGAATTTATTTGGGGAAAATACATAACTGGATGTAGGAGCTTTGAAAACCTAATTCTCCAAGCATAGGTAGAGCATGCATGTTACCTATAGGAACAGCTGGTCCCAGTAATTATAAAGTAACAATTACAGAGAAAAAAAGAAAACAAAACCCTCTTGGCTATAGGAAAGTAATATACTACTTTCTGCCTCGGTAATATTTTGGTAATTAAGGTATAAATCCTTGCACAAAATTTGAGCTTGTTCTGGATTTTCCCTGGACAATAAATCTCTATTTCTGTGGTCATGTTGATATGACCTTTAACATAACAATATGTTTCTCTTGGTTTTAATCCACAGACCATTCCTGTAGTGGTAAGTCCTTCTGCTGGGACAGTGGCAATGAGAACTGGAGTTCAGTATGTTCAGACCACAATGCCAGTCCAAGTACGAAGAGTCTAACTGCTAACAAGAAGTCCATACAATTGTTGGAATATATAAATCTAATAGAAATGTGAAAAATAAACACAGTCCTTTGGATTAACCTCAAAGGTTCAGACTTAAGCTTTGTATAAATGCACAAAGCATTAACTACACTACATTAATGTAAAGCATTAGCGCTGGCTTAGAAAAGCTGAGGACAGGTAAGATCCGTGTCAAATCTCTGCCTCTTTTGTAAATAATGTACAATTTGTGGATGTCATTAAAGTTAGAGTACCATCTCCTTTTTATATTTGTATTGACTTTAACTTATAAAGAGTGTTTGAAGTTGGAAAGGAAAGGTTTAAAGCAGCCTTATCACAAGCTAACGCTGAAAACTGGTCTGGGAAAATGGCAGTAATGCATCAAATAATAAAACCTGAAGGATCTGAACAACTCCATTTGCTTTTGGATGGGAACAATTTCTGCACTTTGAAACTCTTGTAGAATTTCAACCAAATGATGAAGGCTATCTTTCTTTCTGTTAATTGCATTAGGCCAATTATGGCATTTCCCATCTGCGGACCTGAGATATATAAAGATTTACGTTGTTTTTTACAGTGACCAGACTGTTAAAATTGTTTACAAGAAACAAGTTAAAACTTTGTTCAGATTGATATCTGAACAGTTGCGAAGTGTAACACCGGCTTGTTGGGTAGGGCAGCATCGCTTCTTATCGTTGATATCACAGATGAGGGTTTTTTTCCTGTTCTTCACAGTTCAATTTTCTTCCTTTTTTTTTTTTTTTTTTTAATTTGAATCCTCTGAAAAGGACTATGAAAGGCTTTTCACGTGGAACAAGAGCTAGGGGGTGGAGAAAAGCATGGATCAGGAAACATGGGCAAAGGACTTCTGATGCTGGGCCAGAGCATGTATTATTTATATGATGGAATTTATGTTTTTATGTAAGCATGAAACAGTATGAGAGAAAGTAACCCCTGAAAATGCTGTCTGTTACACTTATACTGTAGTACCATTTTGTATGTTGTGTAAAACGAAAGCATTGAACAAAGCAAAGGTGATGTATGTATATGAGAAAATTAATGTATGATATCATTCCAGTACATTCTGTTGTACATTTTAGTCATGTTGATTTTTCCCATTGTTTATAAAAGAATGCGGTCTGTACAGTCTCCAGCTAGAACCCGTATTAGAGGGGAAAAGTATTAGAAGCAAAAGGCGAGAACAATATTCGTGAATTGCAGTTGTGTGAAAAATAGCCTAGCTGGCCTTATTTGTGAAGCATAATTGCTTTTAGCATATGGAAGTATTTTTTCACATTTTCTTTGTATAAAATTTGTATTAAACTTAAATATCTTTTTTGAAAATTGTGTTTCTTTGTGACTGAGAGGTGGCACATGGTATGCTTTGGGTTTCTCCGGTGTTTCAAGAAACTGCACAGCTTTTTATTAAACAGTTTTAGAAAAGTGTTCTGTGTTCCTGGATTTCCAGTTGCATTCAGTCTGCAGTTTTGTACGTATGATTTTTGTTAGTGGAAGAGGCTCGTTGTGCAACACTGACTTGCCTTTGCATTGGGGCTGGAGGGAAAGGACGGGTGTGCACAGCCTTGTTCAGCGCATCTGAGAGCTGAGATGGGGCTCCATGGTGAGCAGTGCTGTGATCCTCTGAGAGGGCACAAACTGGGGCAAGGCTGCTGTGTGTCTTAGGAGAAGAAACAGGGAACGAACGAAATGTTCCTTGTAAGATCAAGCTGTGCCTGCTCTCCTCAAGTTCCTACTCCTGTGGTTACTTTGTTGCATGCATTTATAAAGCAGACGAAGTTAATGTTCTCAGTGCTACTGTTTAAAGAGAAGCACAAATACTGGAAGCTCGGAATGATGTTTTGAAATGTAGTTGGAATGCTGGACTAATAACCTTGTGAGCTCTACCACCGAAACGCATCACTGTGTTTGGAAGAAAAATGGAGATGAACAATTCAAAAAGAGTGATAGGAAACAGCAGTGCTTTCTGGAGCCTCTGTCAGTGATTTTTTTTTCTTTTTAAATTTTAATAAGCATTGCTTTTTCCTTCACCTGGAGTAGAGGCTGACCAGATCCCAGCAACGAGTTGTTATCAGGCCAAGATCCAGGTGTCTCAGATATCTTGGTGACTGCATTTGTTTTTCCCATTTCAGCTGGTTATGGTGTGAAGTTCGTCGCGGCGGTGTCCCCCCCCCCCCGCCCTGCCCCGCTTGTTTGTCTTTGTTTATCTATTTTCCCCTGAGGATTTTAACTAAAAGTGAAGGAAGAATATGCTTCTGGCTTGGACGTGGGGGGAGATGACACTGATGTGATATGAACGTAAAGGACAGGCTCCTACTTTAATGTAAGTTGAATTACCACGACCATCTCACTTGTATATAGAGTAACCTCTGTCCTGTGGAGTGCATCCCTTCTGCTTGGGAGCTGAGCTTGGGAACAACCCGTGGGCTGGGAACGTTGCTTTGTTCTGATTGTACACTTCCTGATTTGCTGCTCAGTCCTGGACTGAAGACAGAATCCAGCCTGCAGGGGCTTTGCCTGGATTGTGGTGACTGCAGGGGGTGATGCTGATCTTTAGGTCTTCAGCTGCTGGGGGCAGGGTGCAGTGTGACTAATGAGAAGCCTCTGGGGTCATGTGTTATCTTGGGAAAACTTCACCCATCAGCTGCAAGCAGTGGGTGCGCCTCGGGTTTTCTATCTTCTGCTGTAACCTAAGAGGCACGTGCGTGCATTACTGCTGGTTTCTCTGGTTTGGGGGACAACATTTATCTTTTCTTAGAGCACGAGCTTAGGAATTTCTGTACTGTGATCTTCCATTCTCACTTGAGCCTTCACTCAAGAGGAGACTGATGTTGGTGTTATCAGTGCCAGTTGAATCCAAAACTTTACCAAGAGGTGGCAATATTTTCCTAGCTTTAATGCAGCTCCAGGAGTCCTCCACTGTTCAGAAAGTATGTGCTAATGCAGCATTCAGGATGCTCTGAGACTGTGCTTTAGTCCCCAGATGGCCTGGATGGAGCTTACCATAGCAGTCCTTCCAGAGTCCAAGGCTCTCATCCTCCTTGGCAGCGTTGGATCAGTTCACAAGCTGTGCTCAGTCTAGGCTAATTCACATCCTGCTAAATGTGCTTTTTTTGCTGTCCTTTACACAGAGACATGGAGCCATGCCACCGAAGTCCTTCTGAATGATTACTCTTGCTTTGTGTAAATTACAGAAGATAATTTTTAAAAGCAATCATACGGCTGCACCTCCACTGGAGGTATTTTGGAAACTATGAGATTTCTGTTCTCCTTCCTTTTGTAAGTTATTGTTATACTGCCCTTGTGCTTGCTCATTGTCCAGTCTGTCAGCTCCACTATGCTTGCTCCATCTGTCCAGTCGTATCTCCTAAGGAAAATGGTGAAATGCTAAGCACTGTTTAGCTCACACTGGGTAAGATGGCAGCGACTCCAGGGTTCTGAGATGGACTGCCACCAAACCAGGGTTTGTTGCTCAGCTGCGTAGAGGAGGCTTATGGTGAAGCCCAGCTGCCCTCTTGTGGTTAAACGTGAGATCTTGCAAGGAAAAAATGCAGTACGGGAAACTGGTAAAATGATTACAACGTGCTCTTCCATCCCCAGCAGTGAAGTACATTTTTGCAACAATTTTCTTGGCAGTTCTGTGGTTATGTGACAAAACTGTATTCTGTTATTTCAGATCTGGTTAATGATGTGACTGAGCAAGGGCTTTGTGCTGTGACTTTGTGTGCAAACACACTGAAACAGGTGAAAATGCTGAGCTAAGCGCGTGTGTTCTCTCAGGCCTTGTGTATTTTGTGAGTGAAAAGCTGTTACGGACGTGTTCACAGGGAGGTAACAAAGCTGAGCAAAGCCTGTGTGTGTGTGTGTGTGTGTGTGTGTGTGTGTGTGTTTTCCACGTGTGTTCATGTGTAAAAAAGCTGTTATAGATACCTTCCTGCCATCAGATTCTCTGCAACAGTGAACCTTGATCCTGCTGCTTTAGAGAGACCAACACCTGCTGCTGACACTGTCAGGGAGCGGCACGGCCTGACAAACAGGCACTCCTAATGCTGGCATGCAGGGCCCTGATCAGCTGTTAACTGTGGGTAAGTGAAAATCATTAGCTGGGAAAATATGGAGAACTCAGTTACAGTAATGGGAAGTGGAGCACCAGCAGGCACTGAGAGCAAATCCTGCCAAGAAGTCTGGAGGTATGAACAAGAGCGTTTGACTGGAGAATCTCTAAATACATCCAGAAAGCAAAATCTATGAAGCCCCAGGGGGAAAAATCAGTTCTCTTGACACAAATAAGGCAGATGTTAGATTTGGAATATCAAGCAAGAGCGATTAGCTGATTGACAGGGTGCTAAAAGCTGATGTCTTGCTTTCTCACGAGTCTGCCATTCCTGACATTTGTTTCTGAGGCTTTATTTGTTGGTGTGCTTGTCTTGCCAGCATCTGTCAGTTCTCCATTGAGTTTGATTCCTTTGACTTGTAATAGAACTTCCTACCTGGGACATTCATGTAGCTGGAAAAGCTCAAGGGAGAAATTCTGCTGGATTTCCCTCTTGGCAGGCACTGAGACAAGCAACAGCTTTGCTGGAGAAATCACCCTGTAATTTGCTTTGTGTTGTACTCAGCCTAAAGAGCATTTTTTTGCAAATGCCTCCACAGCATGCACTTACAGGATGGTTTTGTTTGTGCCTGTTGCTGACAAACGTGGCTGATGTATTTTAAAGGTGCTGCATAGCTGCTAATTTTTGAGCCAAATCCTGAGGTGAGATTCTCAGTCCTGTGGAAAATCCCCTCAGATCTAGCAATCAATCAGCTTCCTGATGCAAGTGTTCGTAGAACTTAGGAGTCTCGACTCAGACTTGTGCAGCACTCATGTAGGTCTCAACTTGTATGATGCCTGTATGCTCGATCCCGATTCACGCGATAGGTAAGGAGATTGTATTACCTCTGCTTCTCTCCCCCAAACATCTTGCTCCAATAAGGCTGTGATCCTTCTGAGGTTGTTTGGTGCAAGCAACAGAGAGTAGTTTTGAATGCCAATCAGAGACCTAACCAAACCCAAAGAGCTGAAATATTCTGACAGCAGGAATTAACTGTGCAGTTCAGCAGAAGTCCTAAAGCTGAAGCTTGCTTGCAGATATATTCATTTACATAAAAATAAATATGCATACCTGCAATATTTGTTTACCCTGTATCTTCTTTTGCAAGACAAGTTGGTTCTGAATGTCTGTGTTCTCTCTCAGAGGACAGAGCCGCTCTTTGCCCCACCAACAAGCAGGACAGCGCAGGCTGTGCTCAGAGCACTTCTAGTCCAACTCTGCCTTGAGACAGGGAGTGTGTATTCCGTGCACCGCTAGATGTGCTGGAGAGAAGGGGCTGGAGAGAAGAGAAGGCAGGTAATCTAATCCCCCAGATGTGAACTTTTTGTTTTTTTATTTAATGCCTTTCACTCATCACAGGGTACTTTTTTCTCACCCAAACTGAGATGGCAGCATAAGGCACCATGTAGACACATGCACAATCCACAGACCATCCATGTCAGATTTAAAAACGCAGCTATGGTTCTTACCAACAGTCCCATGTGTCCTTTTTATAAATGTACACAACGTGATTTTCTTCAGATACTGTCCTGGAAGAATGAATTCTTAATTTAGAATGGCAGGACTTTCCCCACCCACCCACCCCAAAAAGCCAGATTAAAAACACAGGTACAGAACTTAATACCAGAGTAATGAGATTAGTTCATAAATTAAAAAAAAATACAAACAGGACAAAAAATCAACAGTTTCACTCTTATTTGCAGAAGGTCCAACGTGATATGATGTATTATGCGCAGAGTACGCTCACAGTCTTGAGTGTTTCCTCTTCCCCTTTCAAAAGCAAGAAAACTGACAAGCAGAGCCAAGGCTTCTGGGGGCTCTCGTTGATGGCCACAGGGCAGTTACAGCTCTATGCACCCAGCTTAAGCATGTAACTGCAGGATCCCCAGAGTTATCTGAAGGCTCTTCCTCTGTTCAAAGGAAGGACTCGATAGAATGTTCTTTGGCTGCAAGTTCTTAGAGGCTTCCACTGAAAGGGTTCTCCTTCAAAAAAAGAAAAACTGCAGTTGCTGTGGGATTTTTTTAACAAGAAAATGCTGAGGAATAGGTGGAACCGATGTAACAGTTTGAGTGAAGCCCTCACAGTGCTAAGATGTTGGGGTCTGCTACAAATATTCAAGTTCCAAGGCGTGCCGAAGAGCTTCCAGGTCAGCATGACAAGAGATTCTCCAGAATGGCATGTTGTGCTAGAGCAAAACCAAAAGAGGTTTTTTTGTTTGTTTGTTTTCTGTTTTGTTTAATTCTGAGATGAAAATAAGTTTCTTAGTTTGAGTTTGCACCCTCAGGAAGAGAGCTTTGGGCCACAGGCTGCATGGTGTTACAGGCAAGGAGACTCACAGAGCAGGGAAGGGTGTAGGAAGTTTCTGTTGCTGATACATTTCTACTATGCAGAAAGGAAAGAGACCTGCCACAAAGTGGGATATGATGCAGGTATGAGCAGACCATTAAATTTACCCTCTTTTTCTTCCTGTTTCTAGAATTTCAGTACTCCTAGAAGCAATTTTCTTGCCACTTAGTGAGGTTTGCCTACAGTATCAAGCTATACAATAACCTTTCTCTCTCCAGAAAGCATCATAATCCCTTCCTATAGCATGAGGCTCAAAGTTGTCCTATTTGCCACCAGTGAAAGCTGTTGCCAGCACTTTGCAGTCAAGTGAAGTAAAATCAAGTTATCAAGACTTACAGAAATGCAAGCAAAAATACAATAACATAGTGTCAAAATGCTTTCAAACAATTAATTCTTTTTCCAAATTAACTGGAACAATAGGTCATGCTGCTTTTCCTAGAAAGACAGGGACTGCTCACATCAATTGTGCATTTAGTGCATTGGGAAAAGATGCAATAGGCTTATATGACAATCTGTCCTCAAGAGGGTCTTTCAATTCCCATTTTTAAAGACTATCATTTCTGCTTCTGCCTCCCTGTTTTACAGTTCATGTTAATGGTGATGAATGTAAAGTCATTTATACAAATTTCCAAGGTCTACTCAGTGCCACTTGGCACCCTGGCATCTGGACAAAATGTGGGAACTGTGACCCACTGTATCTTCATTGTAATGTCTTGATTCACCTGTTGCAAACTGCGAATATGCTCCAGGAAAACAAAGCTTGCATCATAAGCGTTGTGAAACAAGGATCTAAGATGAAAACTGTAAGCTGGTAAAGTCCCAGTACTACTCTGAAACTATAGTTCAGGCAGCAATGTTCTGTAATCATTACCAATAGCTTCAATCCCAAGAACCTCAAAACAGTTAGACCTTGCTTTTAAATGTTAAATTCAATTTTTCTAGGTCAGCTTATGGTCTGAGGTATTTTGTTCCTTATCCAAAACAATTTGAACATTTTTACTTTAGGTCAAAAGCACACAGCTCCTACTTGCCCTTGGATTTTATAACAACGTTGTGATCTTCATAGCTTCCCAAAGCACCATTATCTGTGCAGTCAGTAATAACTATGCAGTAGCAAAGGTACACAAAGGCCTAACTGGCAAAGCTTGTTATCTTCTCAGTGTGGGAATAGCTTCTGAGTTTATCTCTGTAATCATACTACTTCTGGATAGAAAACTTTGAAAAAGCTTTAGAGAACATGTCCTTCCTAGACAGATGATTCTGATGATGGGAGAAAATCCTTTTCCAAGTGTACCTACCAATGTAAAAAAAAAAAACCTCCAGTGTTCCCAGATGTTTATTTTACAGCATGTCTGCTGACGCTCCCCTGATGTTTAAATACAACTCAAGTTTCCCTCTGGTATGTTGCCTGTGAGTAAACCAGTGTTTCCTTCAAGCTATTCATCAGTGTGGGTAGAGACAGCGAGCAAACACAGACATCTGAAGTGATTGGAATCTATTGATCTGCAATTTCACGTTAAGGGGAAGAATTATTTCCTTCTTCTTTCCCTTCCTATGGTTGTTATTAAACCTCATCCATTAAATTATCTACTTTTCGTTCTTTAAAGAGAAGAAAACTTGGGCCTCTTGGCCAATCCTGTTGTTCAGTGTTTACAGATTTATCACTCATCAGACAGGTGAGGAAAAATGACTCACCAAAGAGATATTATCAGTGCTGTCGGCAGAACAGTCAAAGACTCTCTGCATGCCCTCCTCCTGCCTCCCTTTCTTCTTTTTTTTGATAAAGCTCAGGTGTAGAAGCCTTACCTAATGGTTGTCATCAATCACAGGAGGTGACAGCCCAGCAAAGAATGTGCTCTGCAAATGGGAGAGCTGCTTAGACTGGGAGGCACAAGCAAGAGGGTCCTTGAAATCCTGCCTATACCAGACTGCTGAACCTTCCCCCATCTTCATATTACCACAGAGCCCAGCAGCCTTTGATGCAGTCATGTTCACTGACCCACTACCTTTAAAGTATGGCACTGGGCTGTCAAAAGCAGCAGGCTACTATCACCAAACCCAAACCATTTATAGATCAAAAATTAACTCTACTTACTTGTCTGAAACCACATACTGAAGTTTTCCTTTTCATGTGTTTTAAAGTGATCTTTATTAAGCAAGAATGATTCCTGGAACATGCGATAGAGAAACTATCTGAAAAATTTCACTGACTGCCAAGATGAGGGAATTTACAGTAAGAAATTGCTCATAAGATTAAGTATTTTGCATGTTAAGAATTGAGTCTAATTCTAAACTGTTTCAAATGGAAGGAGCTTCATTAAATGTGTGAGCAGAGAAACAGTGATTGAAATGTAAACTTGGAAGAATCCAAAATGGCATCCACAGACTGTACCTTTTTTGCTCCCTGTTCCTCTTCAACACCATCTCCTATTACAATGTACACAGCTTTCCTTCCAAACCTTTGCATTATTCTTTCAAAACAGCTCTCTTTTCCTGAGCAACAGAAGAGAAGACATATATTTTATCTGGATGCATAAAGTAATTGGGGCTGATATTCGCATTCTGGAACTGACGTCATAAACTAATTGCTGCATTCCCCACTTTTTTAAAGATCCCAACTGGATCTCCATCTCAGATGGATTCTCTCTTGAAATCTATGAGACCTTTAACAGTTGGAGAATTCCAGGTGCTGCCAATTTTCCATAAGCTTTGTGACTTTGCACGGCTTAGACTGGCAGTTGGTAGAGTGATGTAACACTCATTGTATTGAGTTGCCCTATTCTATTCATTCTGGTTGCAGAAGTGAACGTGAAAATACAAACCTCAAAGATTCAAACCAAGTCATACCAGAAGGGACAGAAAACAAAAGCCCCAAGCCAACTCTGTCAATATTTATTCCTCTCACAGCTTTTCTAAAACTCACTCAGCACTTGACTCTGCAAGTAACAGGATCCAAACCATGTTTCTGTAAGAGGTCCAACCACACTGTCCCCCTCCTAGCAAGGTGCAGCTGCGCATTCGAAATGCTGCTCCATAAGGTGGGTATTTTTCAGGCTTACTTTCCCATAGAGACACATGGCTTTTTTTTTTTTCTGTGGTCTGTACTAGCTTAAGTGTGGGTTGTTAGCATGCAAATCACAGGTGTGATGTAAACATGAATCTTAAGCTAAAGTTCATATTTGTTATTTTAGTTATTTGTTGCAGTTGGGTTGAGTGGATGTCCCTGAATTAGGGATAAAAGTTTAATCAGTCTTTTGCTGAAGCCTTAGTTACTTTGTTCTTACCTGTTTTTGTTGCACTGTAAATGTTCTCGATTGGGAAGACAGTGCCTAGTCCATAGAGAAGCACTTTTGCTAGAGCTGGTATCAGCTGAGTTGTGGTTACCAACACATTTACACAGTTAGGCCTAGGAAACAAAAGTCAGCAAAGGTGGCAATCTATTTCTTTTTCTTACCTCAAACTGAACAAGGGCAAGAAGAACACACTTCTTGCAACTGGAAGTTCCCAAGCCACTGGGGGATTAAGTACCTAGAGGTTTGTAGCCTGAGTATTGATAACATTTCCTTATAAACTCAGTAGAATGAAAAAAGCCCAAACATAATCCAGCAGTAGTGATGCAGCCTTACTGTACACGACAGGATCTATTTTGCAGGAACCTCAACACCATGTAGGCAATGTTCATGCTTTGCTTGAGTGAATGTCTTCAGGGATTAAAAGGCCCTTTCCTACTCTCTTGCAAATCTCTGCATGTGAAAGGTGTACTGCAGATGAGGTAGGCAAGGAAAGGTAAGAAAAAAGTGGTTGCTTTTTTTTTTTTTTTTTTTCATCTCAGTTCATCATCTCAAGTGACCCCCAACCCTTAATAATACAAGTCTGACAAACATATGCAGACAGGCCTCCCACAGGTTTGGCCAGCAAAGTCCTATATATGTGTCTCAATTTGTTTAGAAGAAGGGGAAAATGGAAAGTAAAGGAGATCCTGGATCAAGCCTGTAGGCAGTTGTGTTAGCTGCTCTTACCGGGAATGTATCAAATTCAGCGCCTTCAGAGCATGTGTGAGCCAGAGATCAGTCAGCGCTTCCAGTTCTGCTCTTAACTGCAGCCAGGTTTCCCTCTTAGGAGCTCCTATTAAACCTGTAAGCAGGGAAACATCTTTGCAGCAGCACAGAAAGGGAGCTGAGTGCTTTTGTATGTAAGTATGCCAAAGGGCCCCTCACTGTGTTCTGAATCCCGCCCCTTCCAGTGCCCTTCTCCTGTCACTGGTGCAGGTTGCTTTCCTTTGCCTCAAGGTACACAAGCCCTGACTGCAACACACTGCTGTGCAACTGGAGATCAGCTTCCTTCCTCTCTAAAGGAATGGTATCGGTCACCTGCACTCTGCAGGCCCATGATAAAACATCCTTCTTGGAGTTAGCACAAAGCTCATACGGAAATGGGCAAGAGGACAAAAGAGTTCTGCGCAGGGGTTGGTGGCTTGAGCTAAGAGAAGCCTGAAGCCAAGAAGGTCCTTTTTCTTCCTGAAAAGCTGTGCACCATTTCCAGTACATGCGGGTAGGGCATTTCTCCAAAAATGAAACAGGTCTGTGGTGATATTCTTAGATTTACTTCTTTCTCTTTCTACTCAGAGACCTGCCACTGAAGTTCTAAAATAGAAGCAAAGCAATCTCTTGGAAGAATTGCCTGGAACGAGCTGAGACAAAAAATCTGAGGGCATCATGGTATCTTCCGATATTGTTTTAGGGGAGATAGTAGGCATTCAAGAATGCCTTCAGATGAAACTCAGCCATACGTTCTTCTGTGGAAGAAAGCAGTCTACTGAGTTTTGAACTGTTTGCTTGCTTACTAGGCATTTTGGAAGATTTGAAAAGGTTGTTCTCTGCCAAACAAATGACCAAATACAGTTCCATATTCAGATTTGAGTCCTCCATTTACTAAACCAAGTATTTCAGCACAGCTCTTGCAAATCCCGTACAGAATGACTGCTGAAAGACTTGTTCAGCTCAGTATTGTTATCATTATGCTCTCTACTCCTCCTCTGCAGCATATTCCTAGCAGGGTCAGAAGGGTTTGAGAGGGTGAAAAGGCACACTTACTGCCTGGCAGCAGATACTTACCCCCAACATTGTTTTTGTAGGTGTTGTACATCTCTTTCACCCGGCGGTAGCGAAATGCTAATTTCCTCATCCAGTCAACTCCCCCATGAACGCCTGAGCCCAGACATAGATTTGCACTGGCAGCTGAGCTGTGAAAGCCATCTGCAGAGAAGTTATACGTGCTAGAAGGAAGAAGGGAAGAGGAGAGGCCGTTATAATTACAGTCTATGCAGCACCAGCAGTGAGTGGAAACAATTGGAAAGAAGTATGGAGACGAGTAGCAGCACAGATGTACACGGGACAAGCTGTACAACAGTGGAATTCATCATTGCTGTCTGCTATCACTCAAGCCCCAGAAATGTGTGTGCCACCCTGCCTAATGCTACACTGCAATGTGTAATACTTGTGTCTGCAACTAGGATACCCAAAAGATCTAAAAGGGCATTTGTGGCCTGTTATTTTTATTTTACTTGAATGATTTATTTCCAGGCTAAAGAATCAAGCAGGCTGCCAGACCCATGATCCCATTCAGACATTAACATCTGAAAACAGGGCTACTTGCACAGATTGAAAAAAAAATAAACAATTCTTACTGTAAACACAGCATAGGTTCAGTGCTTCCTGCCAGTCCTGAGGTTCACTAGACTACAAAACATCTGACTGTCCTCAGGTCACTGAAAATCCTCAGCTGCCTCTTATCCAGGCACCTAAGGTAACTGCAGAAATATTAAAATCTTAAGGGAACAAAATTCTGACGCTACCTTGCTGACTGCTTGGCTATATTGCTCTGAAAACATTAATCAAGGAATAAAAATATTAAGAAATTACCTAACTCTTAAATGCCTGCAACATATAATGCTTTTTAAACAAATTAAAAAACAATACTTCAAAGCAACTCCTGAATAATTACGAGAATGGATGGGGACCAGTGACAGTTCCACAACCACTCTAAATATCTTGGAATGCAGTAATCCTCTGATCTGTGACAAGGCACTTGTTCCTGTCTTGAGTCTTCCTTGACGTGCCTTTCTTTGAATCGGTGTAAGCATTTCTTCAGCACTGAGGTGAATCAGGTGGATCAATTCCCTGAGAAAAGGACTGGGGGGACATGCAAAGAGGCAGTACTGGCTCTTGTTATTTTAAAATGTTTGCATTCAGCCTTGTATGAGTTCTGCATACCCTATTTTTGCACCAATGGCAAATTACTCTGCAAGCAACGTTAAGGTAAATAGAAATAGTTTTTATGGATATGATTAACAGGTGATAATAATATTTGGTACAGTTCTGGTACGTGTTTATAACTGACGACGATCTGACCTAGCAAGGTCCACAGTCTTTACTAGAAAGCCCATTCATTCCGGTTGGGCAGTGGGAAACCTTTCAAACTGGTTTTGAAATGATTTGGGAACACCTGTGCCAGCTGGCTGGCTAAATCATATCAGAAACAGGTGCAGTTAGACTGAAGTTCAATCTGATTTTAAACATTCCCTAGAATGACTTGAAACTCAGCAAGGTCAGGGCTTTACAGTAGGTACAGGCATATAAGCGTGTGAACAAGAACTCTGTGCTCTTCCTGTGTTTAACAATTACAGACAGCGTGCAGCCAGGGAGCAGAGAAGATACATAACCAAGAAAGATTTCTCTATATCACTGTCCAACCTCCTGCTATTTTCAAACAGCTGAGGACTACCTGACCTGCAGCTTCCAGCCTGGAGATCCCATACCTTAGATCTTGTCCATTATCATCTGATGATACATCATCTATGTGGATCTGGTCACAGTCCTGAGGAGTAGATGAAAAAAAAGAAATAATCAGTAAATAAATGTTTTGGGAAAAAAATAAAATGTTTCATAGGATGAAAAATTACTTTAAGGATAACGCTAAGATAAAATCTTCCATGTTGCCAATACTGTCTAGCATAGCGTAGTCAGTTAATTGCTACAAGTGCTACACAGCACTTGTGTAAAAACTTATTGTGTGTGTGGTGTACGAGGCCAGCTCTTATCTAAAGACATAGCAGCTCTTGCGTAGTATAGCAAGTGAACTCCTTCTTAAGCAGACAGAAGGGACAGAGGATGCTGGTGCTTTAGGCAGGAAGACTGTATTCCGTAAACTCCGTGTACATGATAAGTGCAGATTTGTCAGCCTCTCCCCTCGTGAAAATATTGCTTTGGACAGGAGGCGTATGCTCACTTAATTACAGGGAGAGAAGATCTGTCTGTCAGAAATTTCCAGATACGTCTGTCCTGCTGGTGTTTTTCCAGTGCACACTGAGAGAGTTCAGCTTCCTTTGGTGCACAGGGAAGCTGTGCTGAAGCACTGAAGAAGGCACTCTTTCATAGCTCCATGCCACAAACACACTAAAGGAACGATGTGTCAAGAGGGAGGAAATCGATGCCCGGGAAATACAACCAGAATATATACTTGGAGCTCAGCCTGCATGAAATATGTATTCTGTATCTTCCAAAATTCTTCACTGTTTGAATTGTGCCTTAAAAACTTGTTATTTCTGTGATTTCTGTCCTAGTGTTAGCATCATCATTAGAGAGAAATCAGTAAGCTCCCTCCTGCCACCTTAATCTACTTTCTCTGTAATCCTTGTTGGTAAGGACAAAACAGAAAACCTTCAAGCTGGCAAACACTATGCTTTGTTCTGGTTGACTCAACCAGAAAAATCAAAAGCATGGTTGATAAAAGGAATCTTCTTCAGAGTCAGAAAAATTGCAGGTAGAGTTATCCTTTCCAATGTCAGTATTTTGTAATATTTGTGTGCAAAGCACACAGTATGTACTGTAATATCTTCCCACACAATTATGGGCTTTATGAATTATTTTAAACTAGCCCTTTCAAAAAGGACAAAATCCCCCAAACAAGTAACCAGTGTTGATTTCAGTGGTGAAATGTCATGGATGGCTCTTGTCCATAATAACGACAGCATTTACTCTAGGTAATTCTCCAAAACCCATCCACTTTTATCTTGTTCTGGTCTCTTTAGTTCCCTTCATCAGTGTATTGCTGAGGTGTGTGTTTTGTGTAAGCGGAGCCAAGCAGCTGAATAGCAGATTTCTGCTGGCACCTCTCTCTCCTTCATCCACTGTCAGTTTTTAACCTCCCCCTCCCTTTAGCTGTTGTGAGCCATGCTGGGATAATATTGATGCAGTCCACTCTGGTTCACTTGTGTGATACAGGGCATTAAGTCAGGGGAAAGGTATGTGTGGAGGGATCTGTTTTTCTCATTTGTGAATGAATTGTTCTGTACACTGAAGTGTGACAATAGTAGCTATCACATTTCTGACTTCATAAAATACCATGACACTTGGTGAGACGCTACCTCATAGTCCACTGGCTGAGCCTATCAAGTTACTGGGTAAAACATGGGGAAGCTGGTTAAAGCAAGAATGTGGACCATGTTTTACTACTCGGTTACAAGACTAATTTTTCATTCTTGCAGAATTTCCTTGAAATCTTAGTGAGTGGGGAACCAGGGCAGGATATCTGGGCTGCTGAAAAGAAGGTCCAGGTTGTCTAAATGAAGTCTGCAATGGAAACTGGAAATCCCAGTTTCCACATCTGCTGGCTTTTAAAAATAATATTCTAGGATCTCAGAGGTACGTGATCTGTGGCATGTGCAGCCTGTAACTGAGCCAAATGTGTGATTCCTCAGCCACTCCTCCTAGCTTCTGGAATTGAACTGTTTTTTCTGCTGTGACATCTCTAGGCCGGCCTGTGATACATGACCTGTCTCCAGGTGGGATTGAAACCTTGAACGTGGGCTAACACAGCTCTAACATTGTACTGCAGGCTCAGAGAAAGCCTCTGCTGCCTCCTTGTGAAACACAAGCTGTTCCCAAGGATGCACGGAGAAACTCAGTTACCACTTATGAATGTTCTCAAGGTATGTCTCTCAACACGGACGTTGTCCATCTGTGTATCAGAAGTGTGTTAGATAATCCTTAAAAAACAGCTAGTGGATTCGTCTAGTGGATCTGTTAAGCTTGCATCCCTTTTTAAGATTGAGGGTGAGAGTTAACAGTTCCCAGAACATGAAACCTCCAGGGACGGCTCTGAAAGGCAGTAATCTGTAAACATGCTAACCCCCTCACTTGTTAGTTCCTCATCCCTTTGTTGGTCCACCTTGTTTTTCACACCTGTTTTTTTCAGAGAGCTAGGCAATAATATCTCCAGAGGGACTGAGAGTGAAATGCACTATTTTTTAGCCAGTATTGCACTCTGAACAAAAGGAGTCTAGGGGGAAAAGATATAATGCTGAATGTCCATATTTTAGCTTCTCTCTGATCTGTAATCTTGGGCAGTTCCTATTCTCCATGATTTCTCAGAAGTGAACAAAGAGTGAGAGTACTTCCTTCCACATGAGTATTTGCCCATCCATTCTGCAGTGTGATCAGAGCCCTTTGTAGGCAACACTTTGCATGGCCTGTTTGTAGACCATAGGCATCTGTATGTCTGCACTGTTCCAACTGCAAGCAGAGGTGATGTGGCCAAAAAGCACCTAAGTGCGATGTGAGTAGGTGAATTAGTGCAGGAAAAACCCACATTTACAATTTGAAAATGTGGCTCAGCAAACGCAGGTTCTTGCTTGTCTGCATTGTGCTGCTAACAGTCTCCAGCATGGGACAATGCTTGTGTCATAGCGTGCCTTAAGCACCCTTGTCAAAGTTTGCTGCCCTGATTCTCTGTTTCAAAGCAGCCACACCAACAAACTGGGCTTCAACAAGTATCAACCTTACCCCACCAACCTGAAACAGCTTGAAAGAAGTCCAGCTTCTAAATTCTGCTATTTGAGAGTTAACTCATAAACAATCTTTCTAGAAGAAGACCTGAAGTGTTCAGTAAGAGTCTAGACCTAGGGCTTCTGCATTCACCCACCTGCCCTGAGGATGGATGGTCAGCCTCCTATTCAGCTGGCCTGAGGCCTGGAGTGAATCCTATAAGAAACTGGTGCCTCTGCTAGAGTGCAGCAACAAGACAGGGTGAGTTTAGCAGTTCATTTGAATGGATCTGCTGGTTCATCAAGATTCTTGTTCTCTGGCATAGCAGGCAAAATGCTTCTAGGCAAAGCATCCAGTTGCCTGAATCCTCTCCAGGACAACCCCGAGAGCACATAAACTCCTGACAGACAACAGAGTGCCAGGTAGTAGGATGGCACTGAGTGTGGATCACGTTCATGGTAAGGGTGACAACAGGGCAGAGGGGCAGACTAAAAGTGGTCTGATTTCTTGCACCCGTTTGGTACAGTTTTAAAGAAGTAAGCTCTGAAAAAGCCTTCTATTTACTCTTCTGTCATCTGCTGAGTTGACGGTCTGCATCAGTGGGAATAACTCATCCTCTTGATTTTGTTTGTTTTCAAGGCAAGAACAGCAAAGCAAAGGGCAGCTTAGTATTTTGGACAAGACGATGGCGTGGTACTATAGAAGAAATCTGCTCCCTCCAGGCTTGCTGGGCCCTCCCAGAATGCCTGAAGTAGGCTATGCATTTATGTCAGAGAAATGTTTTGCTGTGGTTAACATTTCCTGACGAAGTAATCTTGTTTTATGCTTGAACAGTGTAACTATCCTACCGCTTTATCAGCCACAGCTTCTTGCACCTTGACTCAACCCAGAATACAGCCAGAAACAGTCTCAGCCCGCTGTGGCTGTAGCTTGTTTTGTACTGCACAGCTCAGTGTTATACCACATGATGGTGCTGATGTACACGGTAAGCCCTGTGGTTCTAGACCTGAATCAGCTTCTCTGCGTGTTCCTCCTCTTTTTCATCGTCTTTTTTTTTTTAAAGTATCATTCACTATGTCTTTTTCAAACCCAATACTTGTTAATGCACAGTCGTTAAATATCACTTTGTGAATACTCAAACTTGACTTTAGCTTACCATCCAACACTGAAAGAATTGGATGGCTAATGAACAGGGAGGGATGTCTGTTGCAAATTCTTCCAAACTTAAATGGCTTAATTTACTGGAAAGTATCATATGTAAAGAACATTCACTTCTCTTGAATTCTTCCTCATCTTCCATGTTCATTACTGAAAACATTCAGTTAAAACCAAAACACCTTGGTCTGGTTTTGAAAAAATCTTTGGTTTGTTTCATGCATGCTGAAGAAAAAGCTGTCTCACAATGCTCTGTTCTCTCTTTGCTTGTTTCTGCTCTGGCTAACTGGAATCCTACTTGTTTCTGAAATTTCTGAAGTTTTTCATGGCTTTGAGCCATCCAAGTCCAGCTGCCAACTTTGTGTTTCTCAATTTTTTTTTTAATAAAAGAAGGTAAGATGATAAGATAGCCCAAAAAAATCAGCAAGATTTTTTTCTCTTAACGTAGCAAACAAATAGCACTAGGAAAATAAATGTTTTTACTTAGCATCTTTGTAGCCCAAGCTACTTAGAGGCAATCTTTCTAATATTTTGCTGAACAGGTATGTCTTGCAGCATCTATCTCTCTTCCTACATTGGAGATGAAGCCCAGATATTTTGTAGAAGGCTGACTTCTACTTGGAGAAGCCATGCTAAACTTCAGCTTTTTACCAGACTAGCTCTTACTCAGTTATGTGGTCCTGCTGGAATGACAGAGTCCCATCTCTGAGTGATTTTTGTTTAGCTTTGGCTTCCTTAATATCTAGGAATTACAAATGAAAAAAAAAGGACTTCTTTTAAGTTAAAAACTTAGCTCTACTGTAATGGTTGAAGAACTTAAGAGGCCATGGAAGACAAATCTGACCTAAGGAGGCTGCTAGAAGCTGTTACTGACTGATGAAAGTGCAGAATTTAACTGAGGCTGGACAATTTGCTAGCTTGTTCCATGTTTTAGAGTGGTAAGATGTTAAGCAAGGGGAAAACTTGTCAAAAAGTTTTGCCAAGAGAGCAGATCTCTAGATGGACAGAGGGTTTCCATGTGGCTTTCTGCAAGATAAAGAGCTTTGTGACACCGTACGTTGAGATCTCATGGGTGAAAAATACTGGCTTTGAATGGAACAGGCTTCCCAGGGCAGTGGTCAAGCAACAAGCTGCCAGGGTTGACAAAGCATTTGGACAATGCTCTCAGAAACAAGGATTGATTTTCAAGGGGCCTGTGTGGATCTGGAAGTTGGACCCTTTGATCCTTGCGAAATCCATCCAACTTCGGATATTCTATGATTCTATTAAATATTATTGCTGCCTAAGCAGAACCTTTGACTTCCAAACAGCATTTCTCTATTCTTTTATCCTTGGAGACAGACTTCACTTTCCACTTCCTGCACCCTAAGTACACTAAGTACAGAAAAAGTTCTCCCATTTTATCCACTGCAGGAAAAAAAATGAATAAAATCTTCCTTTTTGAAGTAGAGACCACAGGAGCCTGCCAAGGGGTGCCAGATCTTTCTCCTCAGACTCCAAGGTACCTACAGCTCAAACCCACCCTACACACTTTGTAGATGACTCATTCAGACCATTTCTACTGATTCCAAATGCAAACAGCTTTTCATCAGCACTGTACAGCTGCTTCTCAGCTAGTGACAGAATTTTGCTTGCATGACTTTGGTTGGATTTTACTGTACATTCAAAAGGATTTTCACTTTCTATAAGACTTTATATTTCTATAAGACATACTTAGTCAGATTTAACCATACTGCAGACAGGGAAGAGTTTTCCCTTTCAGTCTTTCATGTAGAAACTCATCTCATATAATTTCATCCTGCAGTATTCCTGTGCTTGAGCAGACCTCCTGCTCCATCTGTGTGTGCAGAACAGAGAACACGTTTAAAACCTCTGCATTGGATTGCAGCTAATTGCTAACTGCTCCATAGGATGTATGCTAATTTAGCTTAATAAAATTATTAGATAGCAAATTTCTAGAGAAGCAGCAGTAACGTCCTCTTTATTAGATTTAGTAAAACTGCCAAAAGCCATCATTGTTAGTATGTATTTAGAAAAAAAATCCTTAACAGAATGAAGATGTCAAAGGGACATAGTATAGTATGCTTTCAATATAACCATCTAAGGACCATTTCTTAGGGGTCAATATTGAAAGTTTCTTGGCCAGAAAAGCAAGTTTGTAGACCAGATGCAAATGATTAGAAAGAGAGATGCTAAATAAAATAAGCAGCTACATACCTCCAGGTCATTAAAGAACAGATGTGTATCTGCAAGGTTGAAGATCATTTCTTCCATCATAAGACCTATCCGCACAGACGTTGTCGTGTCCTGTTGGAGGAGAATCACGTTTTTTTTTCCATTTACATCTATTTCTTTTCTGGGAGGTGGGAGATCTCAGACAAACACGAGATCTATACATTCCTGTTTCTGAAGATATGTTCATTACAATAATTTCATTTCCCAACTGTATCTTAGCATGATTTTCCTGTCCTTTCTTTTGCTCTCCTATGTAATCAGATTCTATTCTTTTAAGGATGTATATGATTAATCTCACACTTTTCAGCCTGCACATGCAGGTGAGTTTAACAAGGACATTTAAACACTCAAGGCTGTTTAAGAACTGTTTCAGTAGGTTAGACCAAGAATTGGTTTCCAATAGCATCAGTGCTGAGTGGCAAGGGAATAGTTATGAGCAACAGAGCCTGCAAAGGGTGCCCCTTCCTTGACTCTGTCCCTCAAGCCATCCATAAGAGGCCAGCATTTTTCTTAACACATGAACACAGACTTCTAACATCAAGCAGCACCATGGTGAGCAGAATCTGAAACCAAAACTCAGGAGTTCAAACCTTAAGTCTTTTTCTCTAAAAGGTGCAATCAGACCAAGCCAACCAGACTGACTCCGTTTGGCCAGTAAAGCTCTCGGTCCCGTCCCCTCTTGGATGGGGACAGCAGCCATGGGGCTCCTACAGCTCTTGACTTACTGCTTCAAAGATGCTCAGTGGGCACTGGATACAGCCCTGGAGATTTGTCACTCTGAAATACAATCATGTGATCTGCTGTACCCAGCCTGCTGCACTACAATATTGCATGAGTCTCAGTCACTTTTCCACGTCTCTCCCCTGAACAACTGACCTTCTTCCTGAACTGATAGCAAAAGCATAGAAAAGTTCTGAGGCAAACTATATTTCTAGCAGAACATTTTCTTATTCATTAAACACTTCAAAAATTCAAGCAATAATGGTCTATGGCTAAGCACTCAGCTAAAAAGTATTGTGTCTGTTTAAACAACAGACAACTTGAAAAAACAGCATTCCCACAACAGGCTTTTATTTGTAATTCATCTTCATTAGGACAGGGATCTCTCATCTTTATGTTTATGTGGGTGGTTTTCTCCCATTGATGTTACAAGCCATGCTAAAACGGGGCAGATTTATATGTAGTCTTTGCTCTAATTTTCTGCAGATTTCTGTGGAGTAGTGCTATTGTAGGACAGGGTAGTAATTAATTAGTTGAGGAGCTCTAGAGGCAGCAGAGTGTTTGGAGGATGAGGACATTTCAATCAACCTTTGCGGCAGATGCTGTTGACATGGATGGTGTATTACATGCTAACCTAATTATTACGCATTCCTGGTGTAGTTCTCTTTAATTAGAGCAGAGTGGCTGTGGTTTGAGCCATGCGTATGACTCACAAGCACTGTGCCCATCTAAAGAAAAGCCCAGTCACTCATGTTTAAACATGTTTCTTGCTGCCTTTGAAAGAAGGGCACTCTCACCTCTGGGCAAAAAGGAAACTGCAACAGCCTTACCTTGAACATGCCTAATTTTAAGCCCTCTCCGGCTCCTCTGACGAGGCACAGGGACAAGGCACAATTAGGGCATCTAACCCTATGTGGGTCCACGTGAACAGCACTGAATCAAATTTTACTACCCAGATGCAGTTACACAGGGGAACTGTTCTGAAGAAAATATGCTGCTAAAAAGAAATGATTTTGTAAAATAGTTTTTAATGAAGCAATTTATTTTTATACATTTCAGGGATCATTAGCCTTTAAACCTTTTTAAGGAAGTCCCATTTGTTGGTATCTGTCATTTATTCTTTATGTTTTGTCTTTAGATTTGTTGCTATTAATCACTATCAGAGAATAGGAAACATTTCCACAGTGTATGAAGTTACTTTCTCTTAAACTAAACAATATGGAAATTTAAGTGTAGATGAGAGGGGAAATATATATATATCTATATCTTTCTCTTGAGATAAAGAATATAATGGAATGAAAATAAAACAGAAAAATGTACTTTACCACCCAGAGGGGAAGTCGTTTGGGGAAATTATTTGGCATCAGTGCTCTCACAGTATGGATATTTCCTCTATAACAAGGCATACTTCCAAGTCTCAGGCTGATAAAGTTAAAAGGCAAATCAGCACTCCAGTAAGACATAGGTGTCTAGAGGCACCAGGCTAGGGTTCCACTAGCAGTTATTCACTTGCATTACTGTTGCATCTAGAAGCAGTAGTTCCAGCTCTGAACCCCACTGTGCTTGAGTTTGTACCCACAAAGAGGAAAGGCACAGTCCCTTCCTTCAGCTTGCCATTTAAATGTGAATAAACAGGAGAATCAGATTGATGAGCAAGCACAAAAATGACAAAAATGTATCAATTAATGTGTTGTCAAAATTCTCTGTATGCTGCATGAAGATTTGAAAAGAGAATTACGATTATTTCTTTTCTGAAGATGTTAATGAAGAACTCTTCCTGAGCGCAGAAACCCTGCAAGACTAACAAACGTTGCTGTACTGCAGGGGATGCCCTTCCAGACTGCTAATGCCAGTATTAGAGCAGTGTGAGGTTAGCAGAGCAATGTAAAATTGCTGCATCCTTATCGATGGCCCCTGCTAACAAGTCCTGCCATAGGAAAAGTGCACCCTGGAGCCCTGGGAACAAACTTCCTCAGTAACAGATGTAGCCAATGCTTTCTGAGGCATGAGAAGCCCAAGGACAAAAGAACTGCAGACAGCTTGAAATCAAATTTCCTCCAGGAACCACTTTTTACAGTGAAAACAGATTCATTTAAAAACTCAGCCCTGAGTACTTGGTCAGTAACATTAGAAGAGCAAAGTTCTGCCCTTTGCTCATGTACGAGTCCTGCTTTCACAAACAAGGACAATGAGAGGCCAGGACAGAAAACAGTCAAAAGACTCCTTTTGCAAATAAAACCTCCAGTAGCACAGTATTTCTGTGCGTGTCACCTCTGCAGTGCATGCTGCTGGAACTTCCTTCAGCACTGAAAATAAACAGCCCTACAGATTACATTTGGTGCTTCCCTCTGGTCCTCAGACATGACAAACCAGGCACTCTAGCAGAGCTCAGCTCCTGGCTTGACAACACACAGCCTTAATAGACTTCTTCCCACCAGCTGGCTGAAATAAGCATCACAGCAGCAGTATTCATTTCAAAGTATTTGTTCCCAAAGACCTTGGGATTTCTCTCCTCAACACACACTTTTAATGAACAAGGATAGCAGTTTCACAGTTGCCCATTTCTGTTCATCTTGAAGGAGATGAAGGGTAAAAAGCCCCTGACATCTTTTCATAAGTATCAAAATGTACAAAGAAGGTGACATGCTTTTTTTTTTTAACCTTTTTGATCAAGTATGGTTGCCGTAAAGAACATCCTTGGACGTGTCTCCCTGTTTTGTCTGTCACAGATGTGACAGAGACTGGGGTGCTATTGTCTACCACTGACAACACTGTGAACAAGATAACTTCTACTGAAAGTGAGGCACAGCTGAAACCCAGCCCTGTATCTGCTTGCCTAGGAGAAGTTTTTCTGCCCTTTCAACAGCTAGCCTTGCTAGAGGAAAACATGGAAAACAGACTGTGATACACTCCACAGGGGAAGGCAAAAATGTCCATTCATGTTTTCACAGAATTGTTGGGATTGGAAGGGACCTCTGGAGATCATCTGAACAATCTCTCAACTGTTTTCTTTCAATAGCATGAGCTGGTAATTTTTTTCTGAATATCATTTTTAACTTGGCTAGTTGCATGCACTGTTCCTCTCTGAACTACTTCAGAGATCTGCATTCCATGTTAAAATTGCAGTTTTATTTCACATATGTCCTACATACTAATCTCATCCTAAAGTTCATTTCAGTTTCTGCTTTAATTTTCTCTCCTCATTTTGAGTAACAATATGACACAGAAGGTGGCTGAAGGGAGCCTGATGAGCAGCCTTCAGTCTGTCCTTGCCTAAAGATGACTTCCACAAAGACTGGAGATGAGCATGGAACAAGCAGAGGATTGAAGTTGGAAGAAAGGACTGCTCATGCCATGTGAAACTCAGATTACCCTGTACTGCAGCAAAACAAAGGGAACACAGGATGTCTAGACCCATTCAAATTAGCTTTAATCTATCTAATGAGAGTACAAATAGCTGTGAACATTTTGCAGCATGCACTGTGTAGAGCCCTGGACACTTCTTACTCAAGGGCTAAACACAGAAGCCTGTGTTACTATATTTTCAATACTACAGTAGCATTACCTACAAAAAGCCCATTAGCTACACTTCAAACTGCACTGTCAGCATCCTCCCATATGGCTTGGTTTCAAGGCCTTCTTACCACTGCTCCTGAAACACTTAGCTGGATTTTTCATAAACTACTTATACTTGCCCTAAAGTACGCATTAAAAAGACATGTATTTGTTAACACCTGCAGCTAGTACTAATCCATTGGCTGTATGTCCACAGCCAGCTCTCCCCTCTTGTAGAGCGTAATTTTGAGAGGAAGCGAGACGCAGAATTATCTCTGGCAATCTCTCAACTGCAAGTCGCTCTCACCCCCAATCCTGGCTCCAAATCAGCCATTTTCAAGCCTCTGCCTTACAGGTACCCTGTTCAGACACTGTTCAGACTTGCAGGCCATTAGCAAAGGGGCAAAGCTCGTTCCTATGAGACAGATAACAAATCAGCTTGTTGTCTGAGTCTGCTCCTATTTAGCAACGTGCCAATTAAGCCGACACTCAAAATGCGAGGACAAAGTCATCCTGAACGCAGAACTTGAATTCAGGCCTCCCTTTCCCCACCCTAAAAAAAAAAACAAAAAAACAAAAAACCACCAACAAAACAAAGCCTTTCTATTTAAAACCAATCAGTCTCTTTAAATCCCTGCCAAATACCTGTTTATGCCATGAGCAAATAATTACTTTTCTACAAGGAAGAAAGTATTAATTAAGAGTATTCATCAGACTCCTATTCTGTAGGGTTTATCTGCCACAGGTGTCAGCCAGAGGTGAGAGACGGATTAGTATACAATCAAGGGCTTTTCTAA